CACATTTTAACCCAACGACAGTTGCAGCAGATGCTTGAAGGGATGATACAAATCTGTCGAAATTAATTTGCAAACAGTTAAAATAATTCTAACTCCTTAAATTTACGGAAACAGTTTCTGTAAACTTCTAAACAACAGGCGAACAATGAACTCAATTTTCACAACTCAAAAGCACGGTTGTCCGCAAAACTTTTTACCTTGTACTGATGGCAAATCTGTCGACAAAATTTAGACTTGGAAAGATGAATTTTTGGAGATACGTGAAGAGGATGTGGGACGACGGAAAGAAGAGGAAACCAGCTGTAAACAGATACAAGTAATCCATTCTTTCTTCCGCCGGTTTCCGCCGATTGATAACTGCACATAAAAGACGGTCAGCACCCCTCGCTGATAAAATCACGCCATACGTCCGAAAATATGACGAAGCTTGTTCGGAAAGTTGCCGATGTCTTCCGACTTCATCCGTTTGTGACACAAGTGGCGCATCTGTTTTGATTTTTGGCGGAGTAAAAACAGTACCTAAAATGAGAAGATCGAGAAATCCGAATTCTTCCTCAACAGGCCAGGCTAGTGGTTCAGCCGCTGGTTCTTCAGGAAGTAGCAACACAAACACAGTTCCTTCCTTGTTAAAAGAACTTCACGGCCTCGTGTTGCAAATTCAGGTAGTGTGATACTCGTTCCATCTTTTGTTCACTGTCGCGTGTTTAACGCCGTACGTAAAGTCACAACAGTTACTGTAGTTGACGTTTATTGCTGGTTGTTTACTTGAAATGATTTCTCTCTCTGTGCAACAGTATTTTGATTTGTCAAAAATGCGAGAAAAAGCTTGATAGTGGATGCATGGCGCTGTCACAGCGTTTTGGGCATCCCAGCGTTTTGGGCATCCCCATTCCCATATCCCTAGCGTTTTGGGCATCCCCGGTGGGGGATGCCCAAAACGCTGATCGCTTCGACTTTGCCTAAATTATTTCAGACTGGGGAAAAGTCGGGATTGTTAATCACGAAGTTACGTGCATGTTAGAATTATATCATCTGACGCTTTTCGCAGGGTTTATTGCGCAGAAAAAAACCCCATAGGCAGTAAACGTTGGCTCAAAAACATGACGAAACTGAAATTTACAACCGCATAACATCGCTTTGCTGTACAATGCTTCATTGTTTGCAAAGCTTCAATTTTATTTAATACTGAACTATTTACAAGCGAGCAATACCGCAATCGCCGGCAGCAGCGATCGTCTGATTCCAAACAGCCAAAAACAGAATACTAAACAAAGTAATCAAAAGACAAACATGAATGAAACTGCGTTTTATTCATAGTAATTTAGTATGCATGACATTTGAGGCCTGTACAACTTAACCCCGCAGCGCTACTTGACACACGAAAGGTTGTCACACAATTTATACAGATGCCTCTTGCACCTACGAGACAGAAGAAATCTGTTGCCGTTTTGAGATGTAGTAGGGGCTTCTATTAAATCAATTCCGACCAAGTACCACACCTTGGGAACAACCTTCACAGGGTCCAAAAGTATTATCGTGGCCGGCGTGTCCAGAGAAAGGAGCAGAGTGACACTCTTCGAAGACCCTCGCTTTCTCTTCCTCGGTGATAACAAGTCGTCGAATAGCCTGCGTGGCAGGCGTTCCAAAGGGAAGGGAAAGAAAACTCCCTTTCCCAATGCTCCCTTTCAAACGCCTGCCACGCAGGCTAGATGTCGAAGCGCTGTGCCATCCCTCTCCTTGGCCACGTAGAACAAGGACTCTAATTTTGAGTCATACTCGAACTTTTTGGCAAATTTTCGCAGAGTCGTTTTTTGCTTTGTAAAGCCTTGCGGATAAGCCTTCTTTTTAAGATACTGGAAAAGATTTCGATATTTAGCGGAAGCCGTCTCTAAAACGTTTTCGATTTTCCCGCGAAATTCAGCATCTTTTTGGAGGGGATGTCCAAAACACTAGGGATTTGGGCATCCCGGGAGGGTACCGGGGGATGCCCAAAACGCTGCAGTAATATGAGAAGGGGATGCCCAAAACGCTAGGGATTTGGGAATGGGGATGGGGATGCCCAAAACGCTGTGACAGTGCCATACTGAATACGAAGGAGAGGGACTGGGGAGAGTTAATAAGGGGCATAGGGGATTTCTGGGGTGTTGTAATGGTACGCAAACAATTCACGAAATTTATGCCCAAGAAATTCTCATGAATGATCCATGCTGTCACCCATGCTACATCACATGGAATTCACCAAAATTTCACTTGAAATGTAAGTGTTGCTCAGGGTTGAATTTTTGTGGAAAATATATGGTTGGTTCCCTTTATTGGGTATGCTTTTCTGTTTCTTCTTTGGTTTGATATGTTTCAGTTAGGATGTTAGGTCTTTGACCAGGCACTCTGACATTATCCAAAACACCCTCAACCTGGTTTCTTTCAATCTCAATCACATATATTTAAGGAGATAAAAAAACCTATATATTACATAGCCAACTCCTGCCTTGAGGATACCTTCCCATCAATATTAGAGACCTTGATCATGCTAACATGGATAGTAGCTGAATCTGCAGCAACAATACAGTCAATTTGACTGAACTCTCACTATTATGATACATGTAATTAGCATTTAACTATTGGGTAAGGCTGAGTATGATCTGAAGAATTATGGAGATTGAGGAAAGTGTTTCTGGCCGAGGTGGATAACACACTGACAAAGATTATTCCGTCATTACAATATCATAAAAGCGAATTTTGATGGTGTTATTCATGTACAGTAAGTCTTGATATAATGTTCCAAGCCATAATCCCATGTTATGATTTGGGTAGTGGATAGATTTGTACTGGGAGGGATTAGGGTCGTTGATATTGGGGGATATGTGGTACAGACCTTTTATTACATGTTTGTTTGCTGAGATCTGAAATCAGTAAGCAAAAGGTTGTGGCTTCTGTGATAATGGCTTTAGTTTGTTGGTGATCATCAGTGAAAGATTTCCTCCTTCACTGAACTGGGAAAATCTGATAAATAAAGTTTATTCGTTAACTTATAGGAACAACGGTCTCAAAGTGAGCAAAACCTCAGTACAATTGCTAAGACTCACGAAAAGATGAAGACTGAAGTGCGAGGTTTGTTTGTGTAGGAGATACATGTAATACAAAGTCAGAACTAGACTGCACTCCTCAGAAATGACTGTGGAGTTGGAGGAGTAATAATCAGTAAATAAGTTGTAACACACCATATTATAGGAAATTAATGCTTCATGAAATTAATGAACGCGAATTTCCAAAATTTCTGTTAATTTTAGTCACGGTAATTTCTGTTCATGTTAATTTCTGAGCCATTACTTAAGTGTCTAGCGTTAATTTGAATGACCTTAATTTTCATTATTTTGACCCAATTTCTCAATACTTTCTGATATTATTGACACCTAAAAAGAGGAGTATTTTATCAGCGAGGATGGAGTTCCGCCGGTAACAGTGAAACTAAGTAGAACTTGAAGTGGCCAGATTTCATTGCTTAACCCCCTTCTTACGTTTAAGGAAAGAACCAAGAACATAGTATCCTTTTCTAATTTTTGTAAATGTTAATTTTCATGCCATTAATTAAATGGAGACCCTAATTCCTGGAGCCTTTGTTCAACTGTAATATAACCTCAGGGTTTAGACAAAACCTTAATGTAGTAAATTTGTCACATTTTTGTAGTATCTTCTTATTTCAAGTCCAAGTTGCGAGGCTTATACAAAACAGCAGGCACTGACGCGGAGGCTGAAGTTGAGTGAGTATAGAACGTTTGATTGCCTTTCTTATCTATAGTTAAATATGACTTGATACACTTGTATATACCTCACTAATAATGAAGACTGTTTTACCAGATGAGTATGTTATATTTACATACCTGGGCTTGTTCTTTTTTTACTTTTAATTAAGGCAATTTCATTATGTCTTCGAGGGGTCAGCAAAGCTTTGGGGGGGAGTAGTTGTGAATTTTTTGCTTATGTAAAGATAAATGAAAGCCCTCTTCATTTTTCTTTAACTGTTTTTCTTTGAAGTTCAATAAAAAAGGCATTGGACAAGATAGCCATCATCAAAGCACTTAGAAATGACAGAAGGATTGGTGAGGAGAATGAATATTTCCTTGTTGGTGTAAATACCATGATTTGCTATAAGAGTTGTGGAAAGGTGTTTTTTAAAGGTCTGGGTCTGTTTATTTCAAAGATTCCATACCAGCTGAATGAATGTTTACTCTATGGCTTTAACTTCTGTATCTTCACACATAAATCTTCAAAGGAGGACTATGATTCATAATGTATGAATGCCCTAGAAAAGCTGCTTTATACATACAGGTTTTTGTTTCTAGTATTGATAAGCAGCAGAGTTGGTATTTTTGTCTACGATGTTTGTTTTCCATCCCAACACTCTGGATGGTTTGAGGCAGTGCCACAGTTCAACTATTGGGTTCGAGCCTTACAAGAAGGATTTGCACCCTGCAGGATATAGCGTCTATAATTATTACTTGGCTCACCTGATATATGTGACAATTACATATTCATAATTTGATAAATGATGTTTTAATCATATTTTTGTCTCTTTGTCAGTCCGAGGTGGCAGTGGTAGGCTAGGCAATCAAGAAACAGGGGAACCAAGGTAATTTGTTAGAGTTTTAAGAATTAACATGCAGTAATCATAAAAGCATAATTATGACAAAAGACTATTATAAGAGTAAAAAGTACAGATGAAAGTCCCGTAAGGGAGAAGTGATTTTGAAAGTTTGGATAGTTACAGTTGTAGTTGCTTATGAGAGAGGTTTGACTCAATAAAACTTTGCTTCCAGTTGTTATTGTGGTTGTCCAACTACTGTATGTATTGTTCTTAATTATATTTCTTGTAAATATTTCTTTTAGTGTACAGTAGAAATAAACTTGTTGTTGTTGATGATGATTACCACTAAATCACACTAAAAAATGTTTGCAAAGTTGTAGACCGCTCACAGCCCCCTTTTTTCCTGATGGGCATTTTGTTTGGCACACATCACTCCCTCTTAAAACCAACATGGCTGCGTGTTATAAACATTAAATCTTATGGAAATATAGTGAACTGGCAACTACAAAATGCAGTCTAGCAAAGTTGTTTTTCTTTTTTTAGGAAGGTAATGAGACGAGGAGTGCTAATGACAATGTTACAGCAAGCTGCAGTTCAGTTACCAATGTGGATGGGAAAATCTTCTGAAAGGTATGACATGTATAAGTGTTTTAGTGTAGAATTATGTCCATTTTATTTATGACTAAAGTATTGCTCGAGCGCAGGCTGGGGATTGATGCTTTGCTTAACCAGTGTCCTGACCATACCACTACCTGGTTTGTTAGTTCAGCTGGTGGTGAGTTGCTGGACTGCAGGGTGGCAGGGTGGAAGATTGTAGCTTCAAATGACAGCCAGAACCCCAAGCAGGGTCTTCAAAGAACTAGAAAGATGATACTGGACCATATTTTTAGAGCTAAAGATACTTTTGTTCTTTAGTAGTATTTCTCCTACACCCACTTCCACTCATACTTCATTTGAAAAGAATAGGTGGAATCATTAGTGTTGTGATTTGCAATGATTTGTTAATGGGTGTGGTGTGGTGGGAACTCTAAATCAGGATTTAAATCTTAAACCATATCCTTCAACCTTCTTGCTTTCTTCCCAGCCCGCCTTCACTATGTGGTTGCATTCAAGCTGAAGCAAACTATGTGGCCCAGCAAGGGGATCATGTAAGTTATACATAGTGTCCCATGCAAAGAAGAATAGCAATGCATCTTATTTTTAGGCCAAACTGAAGCCTAGAAGGGGCCCACAAAAATTATTTTCAAGGCAGGGCCTCTAACTTATGAGTGAGGTGCTGCTTTTCTTGAAGAACTGAATCTGCGACTTTTTTTTAATGTTTAGCTGGCAGTATTATAAGTGTGATGGTTAACCATTTATTGCCTCCAAAATGTCTCCTTTTTTAAGGCTGCAAAGGTGATGTGTGGACCATAAAAATTAATGTCAAATAATAGAAGTTTGCTTTATTTTTTTATTGTAGGTTGCTGCTCGCGTGCGAACACCTGATGGCGAAGAACAGTTGATCTTAGCAGAAATTGTCTCTTTTAACCCTTCAACAAATAAGTATCTTTCAAAACTTTTTGGTGTCCAAGACAATGTTAGATGAAGGAACTTGGACATTCTGTTATTAGTACATACAGTGCCATTAAAATTTACGTGTTGTCAGGTAGCCTGTGCCGCAGATGAAACTAAACTCTGGTTAAGTCCATCTGCAAAACAGCACTGAAATCCTTGTTCCCACCTGTGTACCAGGATTTGAGTTTGCATCATGATTGGCCCGTTAAAAATGCTATTGTTGATTTGCCAATCAAGGTAAAAGGAAATTCGAAGTGCTCTTCCGGTAGATGTTACTAACCAAGAATACATTAAGTCTGCGACGAAGGCTAGTTGTCAGGTGGTCTTTAAAAAAATATGACCTGATTAAATAGTTAAGGGAGAATAGTGTCATTGCTAGAATAACTGACTTTGCTTGGTGGGAACATCCTGGGTGCAGTTGTTTGGAAGGTGTATAGTGCCATCTTGTGGTTAAGTCTCTATCTAGTAGATACTGCAATCCTGTCCTAATAGTTGTCCAACTTTTGAACAACAAGGGCCTAAAAAAATTCACATTGCAATTGGTTAACCAGATCAAGTCAAAATGGCCATCCCTTCAAAAAAACTAATAACGACTTAATTATTCTTATTAAGGCAAGCCTTTCCAATAATTTTTTTCTTCCTACCTTTAGCTTGCAAGTAACAACATGATAGAATGAGGGGTGGGGTGGTGCAATCATCCCTGTATAGCTGCTAGATTATTTGGCAAGATTTTGCATCCCTAGTGCATTGACTGTGTCCAAGTTTGTGAGTGTCATCCTTGACTTAGCTTGTAAGATATGATGTTGATGACATTGATGAAGAAGCTGGAAGAAATGGCAAAGAGTAAGTGAAGGAGTTTGCACTGACCCACCTAGTCTAGCAATGTTGACAGTTTTTTTGTTTTTTGTTGACAACTTTGACAAACTTGCTATGGACAGCGAAAATAAACACCTGGGATTTCTTTCAACCCCCTGTTTTTGAGGTAAATGTAGTCTCTGTATATGTGGTATTTATGGATTTTAAAGAGATAACATGATGCGAAGGTGCTGAAAACATGAATATACCATTGTACATTAATAATTGGCTTTGCGTTTCTTCCGTTGAATTCACAATTGTGGTTTTGACCAATATATTATTTGTAATTTAATATATGATGCCACAAATTTTTACCCACCCTGGGTGCCAGAGGCCTTTCATGCGCTGTTTCTGGTTTCGGTCAAGTCTGGCTAAAGACGTGTAGGCCTATGGCCGACTAAGCTCTTTGTCGCTCGCAAGTCAAAAGCTCTGTTACCCAGAGTAATATATACCCAGAATGTTTTTTTTTTTTTTAATTTCAGGCGTCATCACTTGAGTCGAAGGCGAGTGATACCACTTCCAAAGACAAAAGCAAACCCGATAACTCATCCTCAAGCTCTCTTTCAAAAAGATCAGGTTAGTGGAAAGCTAAAATGCAAAGTCACCCACAAAATGTGTGTGTCAAACGCAATGTTTGTCCATATTACCCTCTTTCTCATTGGGTGTGGTCGAGAGTGAGGTTTCACTAAATTTCTGATATGCTTTACCAAGAAGGAGTTTCAGCAAAAACTGTTGAGATGGCAGTTTTGAAAAGTTTTGAGATCATGTGGGACCTTTTTCTCCCGACAAGATAAAAGCCTTTGCCCTTACAATCACGCCACCACCCTTGACTCGGCTAAGGACTGGGGAACCTCTCCCCCCCTCCCCCCCCCAAAAAAAATCAACGTGCAGGTGCGTTTTTGTCCCATCATAATGTGTAAAAGAAACCGTGTGTATAAATGCAGAGTGTTTATGTCTACATCCCAGCATTTTTTTTTCTTTCTCTTTTCTTTTTTTTTTTTTTTGGGGGGAAGGGGCTTGTATTTGAATCGTACACGTACTTGCAAATGAGCAGCAAAGGGGAAATTTGCACAATTTACATGGGTTGTTTTTTTTGTAGATTGTGATGGCGCTGTATCCTCAAACTACGTGTTTCTACAAAGCCGTTATCCACGAACCACCAACAAGGGTACGTAATCAATGATGGCATTGACTACGCAGATGACACACAACTATCGCAGTAACAGGTGGCTACGTGGAAGCTAAGCGGCAAGCCAAGTTCGATATTTTGGAATCTTTTTTACTAGCGTCTTTCTACTTTGCAAGAATCCAGTTTTCTCTTGTTTTTCAATCCAGACAAAATTTTCCTCGCTTCGACCCCAATAACCTTTATATCAAATTTTCCTTGCCCATTTTAAGGATGCTTTTACAGTGGAACACTGATCTTTTATGATCACGAGCCGATTACCTCCTGTTATAAGTTAATGTTTGTGATTGACTCGTACGTATAATTTACTAAGGGAAAATTTGAGAAGGCAGGTACACCTAAAATTCTTAAAGACAACATTTAGCGAGGAAAGAGAGCGGGGAAGGGGTGCAAACATTTAGGCATACTAACTCAAAAAATGCACTCCCACCACCCCTCCTCTAACCCAAAATTTTGCCCTAAGTTCGACGTTACAATTAACTGTGTGGTAAGGGAGGGGTAGGTGGACAATTTCCTAGAATCTCACCCTGATTCAAAATACACCTTTCAGCGCATTGCATGTCAGCTAGGATGAACATTTTTAGTAAGTGTTTAGTAAGTACCTTTCTTTTATTTTTAACCTTATTTCAGCCGCAAGATGATTACTTGGTGTCCTTCGAGGACACATCCTACGCTGATGGCTTTGCTCCACCGCTTAACGTCCCACAGCGCTACGTTGTGGCGTCTAAGGAAACAAGAAAGAGATAACCTCAAGAACGCATACCTGCACAATTATGGAGCAAGTCGCTTACTACTTACCAGCTGTTGCGTGTGTGATACAAGGGACTTTAATGCTACATTTACACAGCACCGGACAAATGTTTGACCGGCTGAAAATTCGTACGTTTAGGTGTTCTGTTCACACGGAACCACCTTAACCGTTCGAACATTAAGACGCCTAGCCGGGGTTTCAAAGTTCCGTGTGAACAAAGCGAAAATACTAAACGCTCCCGTGTGTACGAAGTGTCCGGTCAAATTTTTCCGCCGGTCGATAATTCTTTCGGTGCAATGTGAACGGCATGCGCAAGTGTGTTCAGAACGTTCCTCTAGTATTAAACTTTGATTCTACGGTGCGTAAATAAAGGCTACCCGTCTGGCATCGTGTACATACTAGTAGAGTCCTTGTAGCTGTTAGCTCGAAGAAAATGTGCAAGTTATAGAAAGCTTGTGAAGGAATAACAGAATAAAGTTTGTATTCCTCTGTCTACTTTACCTGCATCCGGAAGAAAATGGCAAGACAGCTTGGAATGGTGTTGACGGGATTTCAGTTAGCGGGCTTGTTGTTGCGAATCCGTCTTGGCCTTTGCAACGTTTAGATGTGTATAAACTCGTTTGTTTTTGTTTCTCTCGGTTAGCAAATTCTCAAACTTTTTTGTCTGCTTGATTTCGTTTTGTATTACTTTTCTTAATTTTGACTTCCAAGAAGTCCGAATGGAAGTGAAAACTCGGGTTTTAGAGTGTTGTTTAAAAACTTGCCTCTGGAAATTCTGGAAAAATGAAAAGTTCTTGGCTGTGCACGGTATCCGCTCTATTTTTGGCGGAAAAATATGAAGGCCGCAAGCATCGCCGGGATTTTTCGTGAAATACCACCTGTTGCATACCGCAGAATATTCAACGGCTTTCTTCGCTTTCCGATTGGCTGTATCCTCTGTGGCATGGGATAAATATCTATACTTAGTAACTCAGAACCACAATCTAATGTTTTGGCCAATAATGGAGTAAACTGTGTCGCAACAGTTCATTTTGAGAGGGCGTCCTTTAATAGTACGCGAATGTCGTGATGAAGCAAGCTCGTCCTCTTACTTCCAGCTTCGAAGGTGATGTTGCATGAGGCACCTGTTACCCAATGTTTAACGTTATTAGTGAGCTTACGCAACAGGACGGGAGAGGAATTGAAAACGGCAAACCTTGTGTGACAATAACTTTGTTTGAAAATCTTTTCGCTAAACTTCACCCCCCTTTAAACAGAAAACATTAATGTCAGTGAAGATCGCGACAAAACACGCAAGTAATAGAGGCCCTGTCACGTTTGTCACACACAAGCGTTTTACCGTCCTGTTGCGTAAACGTACCATTACTGAGAGACGACACTATAAGAGATATCTTAGTTAAGGATGGTTTCGTCAAACCCGGCGGGCGTCCGAAAAATGTATGTTCCCCAAACCTTTGTGTAGAATAGACACCCCCCCGCCGCCCCCCCACAATTTCGTGCCATGGTCCACGCCTCTGGTAATCTTTTAGCCCCTAATATCAGAATTTAAATTCTTACTTGGTGCCTCAATAAATTTGTTTAAAAGAAGTGGGAAGAATTTTTTAAAGTATGAATTACATTCATTTCCTGTGATCAAGTCCTTGATTCTTGTGACCAATGTTTAAGGGTTAATATCATAAACAGGTTCGTATATGGCATAGATTGTGCGGATGATTTAGCCTGAGTATCAGGTGTTTCTAAAGGGAAAGGAGAAGAGAGAAGCGAAGGGAGATTCCCCCTATCTCTCCCCCCCCGTTCCCCCTCTAAAATCTCCTCTCCCCTAGCCCCTAAGGAAGGCCTGATACTCAGGATAGTGGTGATAGCTGTATATGGTGGGGATGACAAAACTACAGCGGTTAATATTAAAATAAAAGGGCAAATTATGGCTTAAATGATACAGACACCAACGGATTAAATGTAAGAAAGGAGCATCGACCAGTCTTGCACATTGATGGTTGTACATGTGTTGATAAAGTTAACTTTGGATGCACATATTTAAACTACTCTTACTAATATCAGGAATCAAAACCATACTTTACTTGAGCGCATCAGATTGTAAAAAAGCTTACGACGACATGATGGCAAAGATTTAGATAAAAATTATAAAAGTCAATATTCAAAGAATACACAAAAAACTAGGAGTTACTTCATATACGTATTGCAGGAACCTGACATAGATACCTGACCCATTGCCAGAAAGTAGTTCCCCCATCCCCAACTTTGATAGCCCCGCCCCCTTAATGACCACTCCCAATTTACACCTCACTTCCTCAGGTTGATTTTCGGTTTTCGTTATTGTAGTTGTAGAAATACAGCATGGAAACTACAAAACCCAAATTTTGATATTTGAGCAGAATAATTTCTTTACTCCTACTGAGCTGTCTTTGGATTCGTCAATCAATTTTTGGGGGTAGGAATTGCGTGGCAGCCATTAAACAAGATACCTCTTTGATCTCGCAAACAATTGCTGTTGAATGTTACGTAGTCTTTTTGAACAGTTATTTCAGTTACGTGACATTCACAATCGAATGTATCGAAGCAAATAACGGTGATATAGGCTAATTTTTATTTTAAAAACGTAGCTTACTGTTATTAAATTACAATATAATCACGTTAATTTGCACTTAATTAATGTATTTCGAACATTAACAAAAATAAAACACAAAGTTACATATTAACAACACGGACGTTTTGTTTTGTGTTTGGACCTTTATAAAAGGTCGAGGCGCCAGACGTACGGTATTTATTTGCTCTTTTTATACTAGAGTCCAACCTTAAGTCGTTAAACGCTGTGTGTATCGATAGTACTTTCCAGACATCTGTTGCTACTCACAATGAGCACTACGTTGATATTTATTCTCGCTGTACAGGGCGACCGTTTTTTAAAGTTCGAGTGGTCACTGAATTCCTTACGTGCCACCATTTGCAGCTCTTTTGCGAACAATGTGAGATTCGTCAGGTTATTTTATGAGAGTGAGCTTCAGGGATAAATTTAAATAACGTAAAAAAACTAGGGGCTGTCTTCAGAAATATTGGAGGTATCAACAACCCCATTATCATCGTCGTCACTCAAGGGTTCGTAGTTATCCGACAAGAGAGGAGTCGGTTCTTGTGGCCTGGGTAACAAAGAAGAGCTACTTGGGCTGGAGCCTGAGGTCAAGTTAACCGCCAAAGCCTGAGGAACTGGTGATGAGCGAGCACTGCTGTTAGCGGAGCCGACGTTGAAGGACAAGGTGGAGTAAGGGAAAGGGTTTATGCGTGACGTTAAGGGCAAAGACATCAATGAAGAGTATTGGCTGTCAATTGAAGGCCACTGCGGAAGGAGCGAGGTACCGTCACATTTTGATTGCTGGTTGGGTGACTCGGGTGGGGCAGGAGAGATTGGTATCATATTAATGTAACAGTCTGAACTCAAGGTCGCTTCTTGACTTGATGACACCACTGAGGGAAGTCTGGATAGCAGAGGCGTACTGTCCGCATCGCCTACTGACGCAGGCGATCTTTGAGGGGTTTCTACGGTTGCTTCATCCTCCGACTCGGGAATCTCCCCCTCAGATAACTGCTCGTCGTCAACAGTTTCACTACTTTGTGACGGTAGTTGATCACGATCGATTACGATTTGCGAAGTGTCAGGTAGCAAGTTAGACGGAGATTTCTCACTGGGCTCGCCACGCGAAAGAACTGCAGCTTCGTTATTCCCAGATTTTTCTTCCTGAGGAGGTAGTTCGTCTTCTGAATGACTGCTCTTCTGTGACGGTGTAATTTCTCCTTCGGATAAAGTATCGTCTGAGTGACGAGCGCTTTCGTCCGGACTTTGCACACCGGACGGCTCCTCTCGATTTGACGCAGTAGGTTCAGCCACATCTATTAATTCCCTTTCAGAAATACGGTCATCACCAATAGAGCTAGCCTCAGAGGCGATATTTGTGGAGCATCCAGATTTAATATCGGGGGAGTCTTCCTCTCCCGGTAGGGGAACAAATTCACCGACAAAAGTAGGGTAAGTGGAATGACCCTCATCATCGGATACATCATCCATAGCTGAGCTTACCTCAGGCGGGTGACTTTCTGACAAGGGACTGAACGTATCAGGAGCGTTGAGAAACCCATCTTCACTACCAGGGTTATCTAATGTCTCCGCTTCATTTACTACTTCGTCGCTCTCGCTGCGGTTCACCAGTGGAGAAACTGTGTTGCTTCTTGTTGCTTCTGAAGTGCTTGGGCAAGAATCGGCATCAGTCGCCGCGGTGACAAGAGCACTCTGTTCTTCGTTTAGTGACTGTTCTGCTGTTCTCACGTCATCCATTTCGACTGAGGTAACAACGGCCGTAAGATTCGCATCACGATCATGGACGTTTTCTTCAAGCGAGGAAGTGACATTTTCATCAGACATCGCCAAAGTGTTAGCAGAACTATCTGGAAAGTCCTCTGAGACTTGCTGGTGAGATGATACTACTTGTGGATGAGCTGACTCTATATCTGTTTCACTGCTCCCAACAAGACTATTCTCACTTGACTGAACCCTTACCACGTCCACTAGTTCGACTCCTTCATCTACTGACACGGGCAATGCCTCTGAAGAATCCTCCTCTAGCGAAGGATCGTTAGGAGAGGAAACGTGGGGAGGTGTTAATTCATGGTCTGAAACTTCAACAGTTTCTTCACTGTTTTGCCTATCCAAAGTACCGTCAGTCTCTCCCTCCGTTTCTAAGAGTTCCTGTGGCTTTTCACCTTGCTGGCGAGACTCTTCAGAAGAAGCTGAAGTAGTAGGTGTATCCTCCATTTGTTGGTAGTTTATCGAAACAGGTAATTCTGCACTGATAGGGCTCGTAAAGTCTCGCAAAATATCGCTTTTCTGTACGCCTTTCTCTTCGAGTGATCCTTCGGTGTGTTCATCTTCAATGTCAGAGTAGTCCTTTGACGTACTAGGAAGAGGAGTATTCGTATCCGCATCCGCATCACACGTGTCAGCAAAAGTGGTATTGTCTATATCTTCCAGTACGCTCTTATTTCTTTCCTCGTGTCCGCCGTCAGCTTGTGTGAATACCTTGGTCGTGGTGCTAGGAAACATTTCATCACTACTCTCGGGCAAATGTTCAGACTCTTCAGCTGACAAGGTTTCACTGTCGCTGGCATCGTAAGTTTGGGTACTCCTCTGAGAATTCCTAGCCAGCGCGAGCACTCGAGGATGCAAACCTACAGAAGATGGCTGAACTGAAGTTTCAATGTCGATCTCTTCCTCTCCTTCCTCTGTCTCACTGCCAGACGCACATGAGGTGATAGCGTCGGGGGGTGCCTTAGGCTGTGGCGAGGACGTCGTTGCACCACTATAACTAATCACTGGTTTCTGTTCAAAAGGAAAGGTCTTATTGTTCACTGGCCAGCTTCCATGCGACCTTTCATCGCGTTTTTCACTCTGATCATGAGCATGGCGAGACTGCATGGGCGGAGTACTTCTATGCGCATCTCTACTATTTTCGTTTGAAATCCACGAACGTGGAACCTCCCTAACGCTAGTAGCCTCTTTACGTTCCACAGCACTCGTAGGTGACGGTAATGGCTGAAATTGTTCTGGTTGTGTAACCGAGAATGGATGAAAGGATTCCAGATATTCTCTTGTTGCAACGATAGTCCTGACTTGGGAATGACCAAGTTGGCGTGGTGTTGAAGACGCGTTCTGTGCATCGCCGTGGGCCTTTTGCGAATGTAATTGTACCGATTCATTAAGATTCATCCAAAATTTCCTCTGAAAGTCTGGATCTATATAGGAGGCACTTTCATCTTCATGATATGAACTTTTAGATATGCTGGTCTCCTTGTCAGGTCTTTTTTTGGGTAAAGTATCTGGGTTAACTTTAGTTTTCACAGAACTAACAGCTTCTTTCTCGGGACTTCTCAGAGGGGGTGGTCCTCTAATCAAAGGAGGGGGCTCGTTAGGACTTGCCCCATGCGACGATCCCGTGGGACTTATTACAGAGGTAGATATTAATGGCGGGGGGCCATCAGGGCTAACAGATAGCTTAACTTTAGTCCCAGGTGGTGATGTAAGTTTGCTTGCACTTCGTGAGGCGGGAGTTGTAGTATGTCCTCCAACTGAAACGGAAAGAGAAATGGAACTGGAACTATTGCCCTCTGGGATGGACCTCACTCCCGTGATTGGCATGAGTGGTGGAGGCTTGGGTACCAGACCAGTCGTAATACCATATCGGGGTCCACCGGACATTCCTGGTGATACGCCGGTGGGATTGGGTGGAGACGAAAGTCTTGGGGGAGAAGTCATGCCATGTCCAGTAAATCTTGCATGAGGGCTACGAGTCTCTTGCCAAGGCGACGTTTCTTTCGTTACTACAGCCTCTCCAGCAGAGGCTGGTTGTTCATGCTCTTCTTTGGCACAGTACGGAATGTCAACTTTTCGGGCTGCAGCTGCAACGTCTACCAAGGTGTCAAAGGCAGACATCGGAAAGACCTTTGCTAACGTGCTTTCTTTACTTTCTTTAGTTGGTTCTTTAGTGTCCCTGTTACCAGATGGCTCTGTGCGTCTACCCACGTCCTCTCGGTTGGAGTGTTTGCTATCAGGCACAATCACGGGTTGTGGTTCTGGAAATGTTTGAGACAAAGCTTCAGTGTCTTTCAAATCAGGGATAACAGCAGCTCGATTGCGCATCTCAGACACGGAGGCTGGCCTTGATGGGATTCGAGAGAGGTACGTGGCTACGGGAGGAGACACCGCTTTTGCTGCTTCAGTTTTTTGGGCAACATGTGGCTTCGTATCAGGTGGAATGGTTTGTGGACGCTGGACTGGTTCGTGTGGTGAGCGGCTGGGGCGAGAAATCGTAGGTAACTCGCCGGGAGACAATCGTTCAGTAACTCCTGGCGCGTGCATGTGCCTTGACTGTCTAACTAGAAAAGGATGTGCTAGCTCCTGCTCTGAAATTTCATTTTCACGCCTTGTTGGTACTTCAAGTGGATGAGGCATGGCACGCCTTTCCTCACTTCCGGGTACAGGGTGACGATGGCCACAAACCGTCATCGGTTGATATCTTATACCGGCAGGAAAATAACCGACTCCTTGAGGATAATGGGGAGCGTATGTGCCACTGATCTTAAAATGACTAGGTAGCTCTTCTCCATTGACGCTATGGGGTGGCACATGTTGCACGACTGGCACCAAGAAGGGACGATCAGGATGGTGGTGGAACGACGTCATTGGGTGAGAAATGGATGGATGGAATGGATAGCCGTACGGTGGAGGGGTTGATGTGCCTGCAGGATGTGGGTGAACATGGGTTTGATGTTGAGCTTGCAAAGCCATTAGTGAATACGGTTGAGTGGGATAGTCACTCCCAGTAGCAAACTCCCGAGGAACTGAAACACACACATTACTAAGCGCGAACTTGCGTATTGCTTCATTTTGCTCGTACGCACTAAGTTTAGTGTCAGGTGCCCTTAAGGGTAAATAGGTTTCTTCCCGTTTGCTTTGAGCGATCTTTTCAGTGGCATCAGTACTTTTATTCTCAGACGAGGCAGAAATCGCCAGGGCTTGAAGTGTGGCCCGAGCAGAAGAAGAACCCAGAGCAATGTGTGACCTCGATGATGGCCTTATAATGGAAGACGTGTCGACCTCTCTTTCCGTTGTCAAATCAACAGTCTCTACTACCGGTGTTCGCCTTTCCCTTTCACTAACTCTGTTATCTATTGGAGTATGTGTGTGACGTGAAGCATCCCTAACAGAGGTGGCCTCCTGGCTGTGATGCAAATAACGATCTAGGTTTCGATCACCGTGTACAGATCCTTCTCTGTGACGGGAGCTTTCAGGAGCCATATCTTGTGCCGTTATATATTTTTTGTCGCGTGAAGAAGACATTTGTATTAGCGGTGGAGGAGGGTTAAGTACTTGCTGGCGAGCAGCCAGACTGTTGCTTGGCGGAGTGGCACTCCGCTGTGTTCTTGACTCGGTATGACTCATGAGGCGTGTATCAGACGACAATGGAAGACTCTGTGGACGCATTGGTTCAGTTGCTGTTACCACGTGTTCTGAGGAGGTTGAAAATAAAGTAGCAAATAAATATCTTACCACTCTTACCCCTAAAAACGTTTTAAGTAAAAATTCCACAAAATTGATTGTTTAATATTTGAAAAAAAAATAGCACCTCGTGAAAGTAGGACCAAAAAGGTTTCATTTGAATGGTCACAACACAGGATTTAATCCACTGACTCAAAAATTAAAACCACTTTCTAAGACTCCAATATTCACTCAGAGAGTGAAAGAGTTAGGTCATCTATGATGTTTCTTTTTGCACGATTTATAAACGGGCATGGATAGGTATTGAGCGTTTTCATATGACGTCACGGCAGCCATATTGGTGTTCCAAAACAATGAAACGGAGGCCACGTTGGTGTTCCTGTGGAAGGTGAACTCTTTTTAGAGTAATAATGATGTGAACTGCAGAAATACAAATTGAATCCCGTTAAAGTCCTGACATTTTTTCGGGTTAATTTGCAATTGCAATTACCACTGCGACAATCATATCTTCATTTCAATTTGTATTTCCGCAGTTCACATCATCATCATCATTCTAGTTTCACTCCTTTCACGGGTTAAGATGAACTCAACAAATTGGCCTGCTCGCAATACATGAGTCTTCATAGCTCGGTTGGTAGAGCACCGCAGCGCTAACGCAGAGGCCATGGGTTCGAATCCCGTTGAAGTTTTTCAGGTTAATTTGCTACTGCTTAAATTGCAATTACCACTGCGACGATCATAGCCGCATTTGAAATAGGTGAACTCCTTTCTTATATAAATGCTTTCGTTTGTCCCAATAAATTTGCATAGATGCTGGCCACGTAAGTGAAAAACGCTCTATCAGCATGAAAACCATACAAAAGTCTGGCCTAGAATAATGGCTTTCATTAATAAGAAAAGAAATTCATCCAAAATACAATATAAAGAAAGAACTGAATACACTTCTTTTTCATTTTTTTAAAACAATTCTTGTACCAATTTGCGACTTAATTGCGTTCTTCACCATTTTCTATTTTTCATTTTCTTTAGCTTACCATTTCCTGCAGACGCTAGTCTCCTTAACATGCTTGAAGCTTGATTCCCTTCTGCCGTCTCAAGGCGTGGATAGCCTTCCACTATTTTCTTCTGCTCATCACCATCAATAACAATAACATCCGTAGGCTTCTTATGCATTTCTGGGCTGACTGTGAAGTGAATATGGACACAGTAAAAACAAATCAATGAAGATAAGAATGATAGTTGTTTATATATAAATATAATTCCGTTATTTACCCTCGGCAGTATTTATAGCACTAATGCTAGTGGGGCCGAGCAAATGCCTGAAACAAATAATTCAAATTGAACTTAACAGGGTTAAGAATCCCAACTGGCCGGAGGCAAACCAGCTGGCTATTTACAAGCATGGCCAAGGATTTGAACTTGGGACTACCGTGAACAAATCCAGCTGGCGGTCGGAGCAGCGTGCAAAAAAAGTAGTGTCCGATATCCCGGGGCAAGTGGATTTTGCTATCGGGCCAGTGAATTTTGTTCTTAACTTTTTTTGAGGAATTCAAATTATAGAAGAACTGTGAAATCAATTCTGCTCATCAAAATCTTTTTGGGGCTAGTTGAAATGACGTTTGGGCTAGTACATGCTAGCTTCAGCTTGCCCGAATGGCAAGCTTTAAAAACTACTTTCTTTGCACCCTGGGTCAGAGCGGGACTTAAACTCGGGGCCTCCCAATTGCAAGTTCGGCGCTCTAACCACTCGGCCACGCTGCCTCCAGACCGGCCAAAAACATAGAACCATGGTTGTAAGGTGTGTCTTCAAGGCCCGTAACATGACATAGCATATCAACACGGCGTTGCCACGTTGGAACAATGTTGTAACCATTCGAAACAGTGTTGCAACAATGTTGCAACGCTGTGTTGCGCTAAAAATCGTCGTTGCGAATCGTCTCGTGTAACATCACCTTTAAACAGTTCTACAAGCACACACTAATAACACAATAACCATACCTCTTCGAACGTCTTCCGTTTTCATGATAATCCTACTGACTTGTTCACCTCGCTGATTCCCAGGATATGAACTCAAAGGCAGTGGCTTGTGTGTGGAAGGATGGCCTACAGTTCCTTCTTTGAGGAATGTCACTTGGCTGTGAGGCTTATCCTGAGGAGTTACAATAACGGGAGAATGGCTACGCGGACAACTTCTGTGACTATGTGCGGGACCAGACGAGGTGAATAAAATGGAACTTGCTGAATGTGGTGTCAGAGTGTGTGGAACTCCCGGTTGCGGTATCGGAGGATGCGATGTTCCGGGATGTGAGGTACCGCCTTGAGATGATCCTAGATTCGACGATGTAACATGGGAAGTCTCTGGATTGGAGGTCACTGCATAAGAAAATCCAGGAAGTGGTACCTCTTTAGAAGAAAGAACAATATTTGGCGAAGAATGATGAGATGTGGTAGAGTGTGGGAGCTGCTTGAGTACCGAAGATCCTTCAAAAGGAGACTGCGAATCTGAATTCGAGTGCGCTGGATGCGAGGAAACCAAAGGTCCGTGTCTTGGATGAGATGAATCCACAGCTCTCGGATATACTAGCCCAGTGTGTATGGATTCCGGATGAAGGGCTCTTGACGAATGTTGCGTGTCCTGTTTCATGGATTCTATAAGCAAAGGCTGGTAAAACCCTTGCCCTTGGTGTGTAGTTCCCACATTTGGTGACGCTCTTCCAATGGAAGCAATCACTCCCGGAGTAGGCATGAAAAGAGTGGAGCTTGAGCTGGATAGCGGCAGTCGAGGAGATTGAGAACGGACTATCCTCGAACCTCCCAGTTGAAGATTGGACATAGAGGACGTCGTAGATGTAGTCGGTACATTTGCTGGAGATGTTACTGAGTTAGCAGTTGTCCCAGATGTAGAATCTCTGGAGTTGATAACTGGAACATTGCTGGTAACAACACTGTTTGATTTGGCGTTACTTTGATTTGGATGAGAAGTGTCTGATTGTTGCGCTTCTGGGCCTAACTTTGGTGTTGGTTCCTGCTTATCTTCAGCACTAGCAACATCTTTTTGTTGTGGTTGCTGCTGCTGCTGCGGTTGTTGCGGTGGATTATGATTTTGTCGCTGTTGATGTTGTTCCCGCTGCTGCTTTTGCTGTTGCTGAGCACGCTGAATCTAGATGAAAACAAAATTTGAACTCTCCGCTATGAGTGGATAACTCAGAATGGAAACACACTCGCACCGACAAAAGAAAGCAGTGATTTTGCTATGTGATTGGCTACAAAAAGCAAATCAATCCACCACTTTAGAAAGGAGAAAGAAACTGGACCGAGTTACCTTTTGCAAAGACTTCTGGGACTGTTACTATGGAAACGGGAAAAAACTGGCCAATAGCTGAATGGCGCGTCCCCAGTAACGATCCCAGAAACAATTGCGGGACTCATTTCGTCTCCAGTTTCCTTCTCGTTTCTAAAGTGGCGAATACTTAAACTAATTATCATATTTCCTCGAATAATCGCTCCTCTTTGACGGAAATATTTAAGTGGAAATAATCGCCTCAATCGAATAATCGCGCCCCCCCCCCACCCCCGCCCCTCTCGCTATCTTCTCTTCCTTTTATCCTCTCCCTGTCAAGTTGAAGTGCAATGTGATCCAGCAAAACTGATCAGTAACGATTCAAGCCATGGAAACTAATCAAGGAACTAAATTTGGAACACTCAAAAAGCCCATGTTCAGTTTGTTTGATGTGATTATTTTTTTATTTAATGGGAAAATAAAACAAACTAGTTCGGGAACGACTTTCAGTAAGCAATATCTGAAATAATCGCCTTCCCTCGAATAATCGCCACATTTTTGTGCGAAAAAAGAAATCATCGCCCCCGGCTATTATTCGAGGAAATACGAAATTGCAAAAAAATACAAAATTGCTTGCGTTTAGCTGAGGATTAGGGCTAGGAGACACTTCGTGATGACCATCATAAGGATCTGAACATGAATCTCATTAACTTGCAAATTTTAACGAAACAGCTCTCCGGGCTCGGTAGATAACCGGGATGTTTAGGTGCCTGTTTACATGGAGGTGGGGGACCCCAGATAGGTGAGGTAACCCGCGAAGGGTCACCCCACCTATCATGTAAATGTGATCAAATTAAAAGGAGAGATTTTATGGACAGGCGGGTTACCTCTCCTACCTGGGGTCCCCTAGCCTGTGTACAGACGTCCCCCCTCCCAGGCGGAGGGGACGTCTGTACACAGGCTAGGGTCACCCACCTCCACGTAAACAGGCCCTACGAAACGGGTCCAAGGGATTCAAGAATAAGAAGAGGAAGTTAGTCTTTTCTCCCATTCGGTGCTCTTAGTCGCCAGCGTCATACTATAGGGGTTAACCCTTTAAGCCCCAATATCCACACTCAAATTCTCCTGACTGAACTCCATACATTTCCTTAAAGAATTAGTTGAGAGAATTGGATAAAAGATCAAAGCATTTCCTCGTAGATGACCATTTTATCAATTCTCATAACCATTCCTCTTGATTATGTACTGATATGGTTAGGAGAAAATTGACGTTGGTCACTCTTGGGACTTAAAGCATGAAACAAAAGCGGTTCAAGTTAGGTTTCTGGGAAACTGCCCACCTACCCCTCCCCTAAGCTAACATTAACACTTACTTCTCACTTAGGACAAAATGGTGGCTTAGGGGAGGGGTAGGTGGGCAGTTTCCCAGAAACCTAAATGGATCCACAAAAGCTTTTAAACTTGTATCACTTCCGGTTGCCATTCATGATACTTGGGACATCAGCGTTCTTGTTGCTTAACTTCGCAATTAATATTTTATTTTTTGAAAGCGTCAATTACGTGTAACAAAAGATTAAGATAATTACCTTTGTTTTGTCATATTCCGCTATAAGATCTTCCAAGCGCAGTTTTTTCTTGTAATTGAAATAGAAGTTCTTGCACTGTGCACCAGTCTTCGTCACCACTCTTCTAGCTATGGCTTCCCAATCACGACCACACTCCCTCAACCCTGGAAAGAAGTAATTTATTTTAATGAATGCAATTTATCAATGCAAGTTCAATAATTTATGCATTTAATTAATGGAACTACATTATCATTTCAGTTTTAAAAGGGCTACTTCACTCACCCTATTTGCTATACTTCTAAAAAGCTAAAAATTTTTTCGCATCAATTGAATTCCCAAAATAATGGTCGAGTTTTGTTATTCAAGACTTGAGGATGGCAAGGTTGTATTTGGATTGAAACTTGAAAACGTTGGGCCAACATTTTCAAGTTATGAATATATGAACGTCATATATGGAAACTGCGGAGTGAAGAATTATGTGAAGGAAGATCATCGCAGTTATCTACGCAACTTTTGCAGTTACGAAAAGAAAGCCTGAAAAACAAAAATTCAGGCTTGTACGGGATTCGAACCCTTGACCTCTGGGATACAGGTGCAGCGCCCTACCAATTAAGCTAACAAGCCAACTGGGAGCAGGTCGTTGAATTGGTTCGTTATAAACCCGTGAAATTTTAAAGTTTTACTGCGCTATGCCTGCAAAAATCACTAACACATTATTATGGACAGTGCTCCCCAACGAAATTGCTTGATATCTAATCCATAACTCCACAGGAGCAAGTAATAAAGCACAGAATTGACTTAAAACAGCAATATCCTTCTAACATAGCCCCTTTACAGCAAACAGCCCAAAAGTGTGACCTCCTTTAATTAATTCACATTCGTTCATGTAGACATAAACCAGTCAGATGTTGAGGACAGTTTCCAGCTGGCTTCTGATTGGATTAAATCTGTACGAAAGAATGTGAATAAATCAAAAGCGGTCACACTTTTGGGCCCCTTTAAGGACTTGCTCCTTGCTCCTTTACAGCAAAGAGCCCAAAAGTGAGACCTCCTTTAATTAATTCACATTCTTTCATGCAGACATTAACCAATCAGATATCGAGCAAAGTTTCCAGCTGGCTTCTGATTGGATTAAATCTGCACGTAAGAATGTGAATAAATCAAAAGCGGTCACACTTTTGGGCCCCTTTAAGTACTGTCTTCTCTGTTACAAATGTCGCAAGAATACAACTTCACCTTGAAGAGCTATTTCTATCTCCTTTTCACTCCAACGGGAAGTCTCTACATGATCTTTAAAAACAACAGCAAAAACAAATAAGAAATGAAATAATGGGTCTGAGTAGCTGGCGAGGTAGCTGTGAATTTGGGGGATAATGTGAGTAGTCACACGCGAGCGGAACGCGAGAGCGAGGGGCGGGAGAAATTCTTTCCTTCGCACCGCGCGGCTATGCCGCTCGATCGCACGTTGTCTCACCGCTCGCTTCGCTTGCCACTAGAAATGGAAAGCTTGCTGGCATGCTAGTTCTGAGTATTTTAAGCAAAGCTTTAAAAAGCCAAATGGCGGGCTTGAATGAAAGGAACGGTCTAACTAAGTGAATGCTAGTTATCAAAATCAATTACGAGCAGCTAAGTATAATGGAGAGCCAGGAAGTGTAAGATGGCTTTCTTAACAAAATCAGCTTAAAACGGATTAGCTGTGCTTTCCCACTCCGAGCTCACTCTTGTCACGCTGATTTAGTCCCGGCGAAAAAATTCTCATTATAAAATTTATCAACCAAAGGATTATCGATCCTCCTGAGTATTACTTTCATGAAGTATTAGAGCAGCTAATTCTTTGTTTTGTGCGTGGACGCGGTACGTACATGCCGGACGGGAGAGCTGTCGTGTGAGTGTAGGTTAAATAAAGAAGTGACTTCTTTTTGGGGATTTTGCTACCTGAACAGTCATTGTATCTCGCTTTCGTTGTAAAACTGAGTGACAGATGTTTCTGTGGGTTTCCGGTCAACACGCTGGTGCCCATCCTGATGGGAACCAAAATGACATCTCCATACAAAGCTCTAGAAATTTGGGCAAATCATTTCTCCAAATGCTTCGCATAGGGTCAATTTCATTGACCTGATTCTTAACGAGGGTTTTTGCATATTTACCTCCTTTCATTTCCCAGAATCTGAACTTTATCTATTGAACGGTTGGAGTTCGGTCCTTTCGATACGAACTTAAGCAGTGATATTGAAACGACTTTGTATCGAAATGACAGTAAACCGAACGGTTTAGAGCTTACTTCTTGATGGCGTGACAATGAAAACCAGCAACAATAGAAAACGCTGGACTTAGCAGCGTAGCTGCCTGTTGAAACTAACTTTTCAAAGGCAAAAAATATTCATAAGAGACTGATAGAGCGCCCATCCACCGGCCCCCTTCCCCCAGCTAATCCAAAGTTACCTCTAACTTTTCTCTAAAGGAAAAAGGTTGCATTAAGGGAGGGGTAGGTAGACGGATTCCCAGAATCTTATACTGATCCTTAATATTTTTTTATGATAGCTTTGTTTGTCTGGGAAACTACTCACCTACCCCTCTCCTAAAGCTACGTTAACCCTACCTTCTCACTGAGGGCAAAACAATGGGTTAAGGGAGGGGTAGAAGGGCATATTCCCAGGATCTTATACGGATACTTAAAACAACAACAACAAAAAAACAGGCAATATTTATGCAGCATCACACCTGGTCTCTTGGCTGGTGGTGTGGGTGTGGCCACTTGAGGGGTGGTTACAGGGGGTGGGGGGTTGTCCTCATTTTCCTCACTCTCCTCTGCTGAGTCTGTCATTTCTTCTAAATCCTCGTCTCCCTCGGAACCTCCCCGATCACCTTTAGCACTGTAATAAACAATAAGAGCAACAATATTATCATGAGACAGAAACGTCTAACTATTTCCTCTACTAGCCTGCAATGAGACCTCTATTACTCTGTTGTACAGTGGAACCCCGCTATAACGAAGGCCCCGTTATAACGGAAAAACATCTGAAAGCCCGGCAGAATTCCAGTAAAATATGTGGAAACGCATCCCGCTATAACGAATAGATTTTGACGGCCCCAACGCACAATTTACCTCCCTGTAACGCATATTTTGTCTGGTCGCTCGCAGCAGTCGGTAAAAACGACAGATTTGAGTAGAAATCACAGCTTGCTCTAATTGAAAGTCATTTTCAATTTGATGTCTTGATCGTCAGCGATTTACACTTACAGTTTACTTTGAGGATACAACAAATAAAAATGATGTTTTCTACGAGCAGTATTGAATTTTTGGTAATTGTTATTTATTAGATTAACCCGCTATAACGAATATTTTTGCTTTTAACCAGATAATTCCAACCTCGTTCCCAGGGCGCTTTTCCCTGGCTTTGGAGGTGGGTCACTTACTGTAAGTAAATGAAATGAGAAAAATGGCCACTTCTCCCGATGATGTTTTCTATACTTGTCCGGATCAATCGTCCCGCGCCATCAGAATGTTTTCACTTGTACGACAGTTATTAGAATATATTAAGTGATGTTACACGAGACCATTTGCAAGGAAGATTTTTATAAAGGCAACAGTGTTGGACCAATGTTGTAACAGGAAACAATGTTGCAGCAATGTCGTAACGCTGTGTTCCGCTGAATATCGTGGTTGCCAATCGTCCCGTGTAACATTAGCTTTGGCCACCAAGTTAGACAACGAGAGGCTAAACGAGGTTGGACGTCTTTGTTCTAATTCTCGACAACACTGTCTCCTTCTGTATTACTTGTTAGCCTGCGAGAAAGCTCCACATTTCCGGCGAACGAAGCGAACAACGAGAGAATGCGAGAACGAGCGGCAAAGCCGCGAGGGGAGGAGGAAAACTTCCTTTCCCCGCCTCTCGCTCCCACGTCGCCTTTCGCGTGCCGCACACGCGTGACATCTCGCGACTCCCCCGAATGGAAAGGTTGCTCGCAGGCTAAGTTACTTGTCACTTCATATTACCTGCTTTCTGAGGCACCGGCTCTTATCTTGTTTGAGGGAGCACCTTCACGCCCAGCTGCAAACTGTATAGAAAAACACAGCAGGTGTTTAAAGGCTGCATTCTGTGTAGAATTCTAACCAATAGGCCACTTCCGAGTTCCAAAAACCCTCACTTTCAAAATGAGGCTAGGTGCACAACCTTTCTTGTGAGAATGAGTTTTATTTGCATGAGAATGAAAAATGATTTCCATATCAGAGGCCGAGCACCTACCCTCCTTTTGAAACAGAGGCCCGGGGGAACTCGGAAAAGACCTTTTAATTTGGTTTGCCTCCTAACTGTTAATTACCATGCTGACTGAAAAAAATTCTTAAACCCCAGCATTTTAAAGTGCTGTAAAATGTACTTTGTAAAACAATGATAAACAAGAACTGAACAGTCATCTATTACTTCTTTAATTTGTTAATTATTCTACGTTTAGATTTCTGTTATTTTTCAACGATTTATAATACTGAAGATGTAGGTTGGAACATACGAAAGGTCAAGTTAAAGTTTCAATTCTTTCCAGAAATACGTTTATATATCCTTATGTTAATCATCGCAGTTTACTTTTTGTTTATTCTCAAGAACACCTTATACAGCATAATAGACAGCAGTACCATTAACCACTCTCTTTACTATACATGGTACTCATTTTCTGTCTCCCAATTGGCTAAGAGCCTATAGTTAATTATGGAAATCAGCACAACCTACAGATTATCTGCTGGAAGATGACTGCTATCAGTTATCTGGTACCAGATTACTAACTTAGTTGTAAATGGATTTCAACCACAAATTCAAATGATACAAAAAATCAACTCCAAAAACTGAACCAAAGCAAGCACTGCTGTCATTTGAAAATTTGAAGGATAGAAGAACCTTATACAGTGTAAAAAATTCATTTGCAGATTATAACTTTGAGTGGAGAGGTCCACACGAGATTTGTTCCTAGTTTGTTCTAACCAACAATAAGAATTAAGTAGAACTTACTTGATCCCGGCGTCTTTTCTTCAAGTTAAGTCTTCGGGACAGCTGTTTGTAATGCTCCTTCTTTTTGGTCTGATAGTAAAACAGGATACAGTCTGCCACACTCTGGAAAGGACAGCCACAAAGAGACATTCTTTAGTGTCTCTCTGGTAATTATTTCAGGCATTACAAGTTTTATTATACCACAGACTTTGGCCCACACCGCGTGAATACCACGGCTGAGTTGACTGAATATGGTAAAACAAAAACTGGCCAATCATAACAAGTACTGCTGGTAAAATCAACCAATCAGAACTAAGAGAAATTACATGTAGTCCGCAACAAGCGCGGGAAACCGCGTCGAGTTCGGGATTTTTATATCTCTTTACAAGGGACAGTGGAAAGACTGTTTGTCTAAATTCAGCCTGCTTAGACACCTCAATATTACGGCCAAATAAGATAGCCAGGGACACGTTTGTAAAGATCATTTACTTACTTTGCCGGGAAGAAACGATGAGATCAGATCAAAGTCTTTGGGGTTGTGGATAAACCTACAAGTAAATAATTATCATAAGGGAAATCAACTCAAAAAATTCAAACAAAAAGACACTACAGGTAGACTATTACAGTATGCACTGTAAATAAAAAAGATCTGCCAATTCAGCTCTGCAGGTCAAAGTCTGATTCAGCTTTTCCTGGAGCCATTTGACCACAATTTCAGCCAAGACAGCCCCATTAAAATTCAAAAGGCTATTCCAGCCCAAGCTGGGGCTTATTTCAGCCCTTGGGTCCAAATCAGCCCTAGGTAACTTAGCCTGTTCTAGGCTCTTAGATAGTGGGGGAAGACGCGAAAGAAAAAGGCACGCGAAAAGTTGGCGGGGCGGGAAAAAGAAAAAGGAAAGCTCTCCCAGTTTCCTCCCGTTTTATTTTCGTGTTTGCGCTTTCTTTATTCAGCGGACCTGACTATCTTGGAGGCTGGAACAGGCTATAAGTAACTGGACTGTGTTGGCGCTAATTAAGGCATTTAAATAAAACCCAAAAAATAGGACTGCATTTTACTCACAGAGACGGCCCCATTTTTAGGGCTAAAGCAGAACTTTTTTATTTACAGTGTAGTTACCACGATTGAGTTAAGTCAGGCAAAGAGTTAAATTATTAAAAAAAATGAATAATTCCATTCCAATAAAGGATGCCCTAACTTACCTATAAGGCGAAACCTGATTGTAAAGCCGATTATAATGTAGTAATTCACTCATTTGTCGCTCAAGCTATGCCTTCTACTCTACATACTATGGTGAAAACGTCTTTCCTCTCTATACCCTGGCCTGCAAGCAGAGGTGTCTCTCTTGCATGTCTTTTAGCATTTACGAAGTCGTTCGTGTGGCTTATCAGTCGCGTAGTCGGTTTGTTTCTCCTGGGGCGTGTAAAACAAACCAACCACGCGACTGACAAGCGACACGAACGACTTCGTAAATGCTAAAAGACATGCAAGAGAAACTTCTGCTCGCAGGACATCCTTGGAGACCCGGGGGCAGATAGTGGGGGCGAGGGAAAGTCTAAGTTTTCTTTGCGCCATTTTTTTCCCGCCTGTTTAGACTTTCCCTCGCCCCGCCTCTATCTGCCCCTGGGTCTCCGAGGATGCTTGCAGGGTATTCTCTCAACTTCCTACCAAGCAATAGTGGTCACCCTACTAAATATATATCTTACTTGTCTTTAAATATCTGCCTTTCTTTCTCTGTCCATATGTTTCTGTGCTTTCTTTCATTGAGAGTTGCTAGTGGATCCCGTATGAGGCCTGTAAAAAGACAACAATGTTTTAGTGTAAGTTCTAGAACGCGGAATAAACGTGATTAACAACACGGTATTAAGTAAACTTCTAGAATATGGTAACCTGTGAAAAAAAAGGACGCCTAGTTGCAGGTTAAGACAGTGGCCGCAAATGCCCAGAGAGGGGGAGGGTACGCCCTACAGTGGCCTATATGGGAAGGCTCCACACAAAAGGGGTACCTTTTTCAGGCTGCAGGTATATGAAAGGGTAGGGATTTTACTGTTTAAAGTATATGAAAGGGGAGGGAAATCCGTAATTTTGTGTCATTTTGGTCTATAAAACGACCTAAAAGGGCTGAGAGAGGCGTATTGGGTTATGAAAAGGACAAAGACAACTTCCTGATTTAGTGATTTATTCATATAAAAAAACCCGGTGCATTTGCAGAAGGTAAAAGGGATGCAGTGTTTTAACTAGGTATATGGAAGGGGCACCATTTGTCAATAGAAGCTATATGAAAGGAGAATCTTAATTGTCAAAAATGGTATATAAAAGGGTCAGGGGTTCGACCTCAAAGTATAGAGCCTCGTCGAGTACCCCCGGGGCAAAAATTTCTCTCTCCTGCACAGTGCATAAAATGTCTAAACAGATTTAAGTTAGTCAAAGAATTTGATTCAACAAACTGAAGTATACCATTTCTGTTAATGAACTTCAATCTTCTTTCTTCCTTGTCTAACATGGGCGGTGGTTCAACAGCTAAAGTTCGCATGTGACGTTCATTGGCCTAAATTAAAAAAAAAAAAAAAACAATAAACAAAAAATAAATCAATACCGTAATTTATCTGATAGATGCCCGAGGCATTTTATTTAATTTTAGGGATCGGAGAGGGGGCCTATAACCATCTCTACCAACTTTCCTTTCGGCAAATGAAATATGAAGGGCGTTTATAAATAGAGGAATATCCAGTGCATCAATAAATTGATTCGTCTAGACCGTCTAGAGATCCCCCTTTTAAATCCCAACTTAGAAGTCCTCGCTTAGAGTCATAGTTTATTTGTCATAGTTACTCTATCCTTACTTTGAACTCGACATTGAACAAGATGCAATGCGCAAAGCCTTGTTTGAGCGATATTCGTATGACCTTGCAATGAAAACGCGCAAACAAAACAGAAACAACAAATGAACAGTAATACAGCTATTTGATTGGTTTATCGAACAGATACAAACGCGCGCGGATTTTCGTTGGTTAAGCGAACGCTTGGGTGAAAAAACTTCATGCCCGAGAACTTTCTAGAAATCAATTGATACTTAGCTTTGACATCATACTGCAACACGATTGCCAATGCCTTCTCTATTTTAGGGTTTTCTTTGGTTGGAAAACAAAGAGGCCATGTTTTGATCTTTTCATCCATTGGCTGATAAAAAAATCGAACACTTTCCGAAACCATTTTTCAAGGTCATACGAAAATCGCTCTAATCAAGTAAGAAACTGAATAAATTGAATGATTTTGCGCTCTTATGCCAATTCCTGGTATTTTGGAGTAACTGTCATGGGAAGGGCGTGTAGAAGTCCTCATTCACTGGGTCATTGAGTTGTCATTGTTAGTCTATCCTCCCTTTCAACTTGACATTGAACAAGAAGCAATACGCAAACCCTTGTTAATGAAGCAACAAACCAAGTAAATTGAATGATTTCGCTCTTTTTTGCCATTTCCTAGTATTTTGGAGTAACTGTCATGGGCCGGGGGGGGGGCATTTATTAGAGAGGGACACCTAATAGAAACGTAACATCGCGGAGGGGACGTTTATTAGACAAGAAGCGTTTATTTGATAGGGGGCGTCAATTAGATCATTTACAGTAACCCTGGTATACCGGAAAGCTTTTTCTTTTCATTACCACCTTGTCCATACCTCTTGTTCATTAAGGTTGTCAACAATTTCATTGAACTCAGCTTCACTTCTAGCTACTATACCCCAGTTACTTCGGGAACCCATCCTGGAAACAGAGTGACAAACAGATATCGCATTGTTATATCTCTAAACCTTTATGCTCAAGATTAACATAAGCACTTCAAAGACAAAGTAACTTACCGAGTGAATCTCTCAGTTTGCTCTCTCTGCTTTTTTATTTCAGGAAATACTTTCTCATAAAACTCTCGCAGCTTCGCTTCTTTTTGTCTGACAACAAAAATAACAACGGTAAGAAAACAAAGAATAAACTTGATATAGAAACTAATGAGAGTTGCATTTTATATCTAATCACCTATAAATTTAACCAAAATAATCAACCTCGTTGCCAACTCGATCAAAGCTGGTTTAAGATAACCTAGGGTTAGTGAGAGATGTAAATTCATATTTGAAAGCTTAAAAAGAACTTTCAGTTTATTTTTGTTGACTACAATTGGATTAATTACTATATGCTCCAAAAACAGTAAAGAAAATTGTCTGAGAAAATGCTTTTGAACAAAAGAAAAAGAACCCCGGATTAAAATTTAACCTCCTTGCCACCCCCACCCGCCTCCATTTCTAAGGCAAATGCTCAAGAGACAAGGATCCAAAATTATACTTACTTCCTCTTAGGGTTGTTTTCATGTCGCTCTATTTTCTTGAGCCATGTTTGTTTTAAAGTCTTGTACTCTTTACATAATTGACGATTCTGAAATAAAACGTGTACATCATGTTTGCTTCTGGCCTGTGAAAACAGCCGTCACTCCTGGCTCTCGCTAGCGACGAGGAGAGAGGAGAGATGGCTGTTTTCGCAGGCTAGTTTGCTTTATCGAATTACATATCAAAGGAGTAGAAGGTGACACTAAGGCCTCACATACATGAACGTGGATACCCGGAATCCACTGGATGGGAAAACAGCCTGCAAAACCGGCTGTAATTCCTAGCTCTCACTAGCGGCGAGGAGTGAGGAGAGATGGCTGTTTTTGAAGGCAAGTTTGCTTTGTATCAAAAGAGTAGAAAGTGACATTAAGGCCGTGCCTACACAAATCCAGACACCATGAAACGTGGTTACTTGGATTCCAGTTCAGACTTTTGTTAACTTAGTATCTACGCAACGAACAACAATTTCTTTGAAAATAAAAACGATATTAATTTTCCACATGCATTGATATGAATTATTATTTCCCTGAGAGATATCCTTGCACTGCACTGAGGACTGAATAAAACCTATCCAAGAAGAGCAACACATTAAGTGAGATAGCCTGCAAAAAAAACTCTCCATTAGGGGGAGTCACGAGAAGTCACGTGAGAGCAGCACACGAAAGGAGGTGCGAGTGCGCTTGCATGTTCTCTCGCGCATTCTCTCGCGACTAGCTTCGCTCATCATAAATGGAGAGCTTGTTAGCAGGCTACAAGTGAGATGACTACATTTAGCTATAGTTCTAGAGATTGCAGATTACCTTAATTTCTTTGGCTTGCTTTCTCAACTGAAAATATTTCACCAATTTAGCCTTGACAGCTGGGGCTCTAAAACACAACCGTACAACATTTTCAAAGTAAAAATCACGAACACCATGATAAAAGCTATCTTTTCATGAAAGAAAAAGATATCATGAGCGTAAGACTATTGCGCTAACAGTATTTCAGTTAGTTACTCACTTTCTTAGATTCTCATGGTAACATGGAAGATCAGAGGGCTGATTATACAATGGCTGTCATAGTGATTAAAAAAAAAACATTAGTTAGTACGCATAATTATATTACGAAGCTCAATCCACAGCCTACATGCAAAGCTATACTCTTGTGTTGCTCATTGTTCTATGGTAATTTACTTTTGACTGTAGCCAGTGAAGAAATCTCAGTTTTGCACCAAACATACTAGCTCTAAGTGCAAGACATGCTGGATTTTATACACATGTGCGGTTAGAGGTTGGGGTCCTATAAGTATTTTTCTTAAAAAGCCTTGACATTAGTTTCTTTCTGCATATAGTACAGTTGTATAACTAAAATGTAAGTTGACAGGACGTTTTTCACTCCTTGAAATTCAGATATTATATAGTTAAACAAGCTGGGAAACCGAAATTTTGTTCACAGATTCAACGATTTATGTACCATGAGAAAAATTTCACAACGCATTGATCACAAGCAGAGTGTGGTACACTTTTCCAAAGGAAGTCAGTCAAGCAACAAGCTCATTAATAACCCTTAACTGACTGCAGACTTGTTAATCCTGACAATATTCAATAATGTTTTGAGAAACTGGGTCCCATCACTTCTAAGACTTAATCAATTGGTACACACTGAAGAGGGTAAGGGGCCCAGGGGGGTACTTCAGATTTCAAGTGACAGGGATGATCAAATGGGGGCAAAAATCAAAACCCCCAAAAATCCCTGGACCAAAATTTAACCCCCAAAAATCCCATGCCAAATTTCTGAGCCATAAAAATTTCCAGAAAGCAATAAATGATATAACTACGAATCATCAGACTGTTTTGAATACCCCCAAAAATCCCTACTTAAATCAAGTTCCCCCCCCCCAAATCCCCCCCAAAATCCTTCGATCCTCCCTGTCACTTGAAATCTGAAGTACCCCCTGGGGTAAGGAGGAGGGTAAATATGTCCCCCGTCTGAATTTCAAAACCTATTGTTTTGCATATTGAGGAGGACCCCTTGTCCCTGTTGGTATATTATTACTGTATTTTTGCTTGCCCTCATCAAAGTTTCAATCCATCTTGTGTGGTTTGTCACGATTTCATTTGCCTTATGTTGTCATTTTAAGGCCATATTGCTTGTTCAAATTTTACCCCAACAGCTGACAAGGCCTCTCTATAACAGCTTAACTAGTTAAGCTCTTAATTGAGTAGATACCTTTCCACCAGGAAGAGGTACACCAAGTTTTGCTAATCTTGCTTGGGCTGCTTCAGCTTTTTTCTGCAGATGAAAGAGTGAGTTAAGTATCATAGTTACAGTCAAGACAGATCAAGCGTAAATTGATTATTTGAAAAATGAATCTGTTCGTCGTTCCTGTAACTAGTGTCAAATTCAAATTGGCATTCTGCATGTGTAATGAGCAGCGAATATTTTATGAGAACTTCTCTGTAATTGGTCAGACTGAAAATCTTTGAATGAATAACATTTTTTCGAAGACATTTACATCAAATTCAGGGAAACCGAGCTGGTAGAAATTTTACAACCGCCTCGCATGTGAATTCACGGCTCATTACACATGCAAGAATGCAGAGATGAATCAGAAATCTACAGCTACCAACGAATTCAACTTTCGAATGATAAATTCATTAATGGAATCTTGTGGGGTATGCTTGACCTGGCTTGACTGTAAGTTTTGTCTTATATAACAGTCTTCCTTGCTATGCTGATGGTTTACCATAAAATATATAAAAAAGACTTGATTTTGTAAGTTAATATTTCAGACATGCAAGTAGCCTGGGAACTACAACTACAAGTGATCAAACCTAATGATGCATAGCTGTATAAATCAAGTTTGGAAAAATTAGAGTTGAGGAGATAATTTGTATTTGTGCTTGTATTTTATTTTTTCTCCACTTAGCATTACAGTCGAACCTCGATTATCCGGACTTTTTCTCTGGTCCCAATTTGGTCATCAATATTTATAAGTCACAATCAAGATCGATAGCCATATCCTTTTTAAAACCACAGCATTGAAAAGTGCAGTCAAATGCAAGGTTTTTTTGCTTACAAACAGCAAAAGTAGCGCCTGCACGAGTCGTAACTAATGAGGAACATTCGAATGAGTTCTGATTGGCTCAGAGTTGCATTGTTGATCAGTAAAATTTCACGCTCTACTACATTTTATTGGCTCGCTCGGTGTGGTATGCAAAACAAACAAGCTAGCATCACAAATGTTTATTTACGATCATGATGTTTTTGAAGCGCAAGTGATACGTTTTTTTGATAAAAGATCACAGTCTATAATTGTGCGACTAGAGAAAAGAGAAAAAGGAACCAATTTGTCAGCTGAATATGACATCTCTGACATCTGCAAGAACACACAAACGATCCTGAAGTTTGCCAACATCTTAGAGACCAGTGAAGGACTGAAGCAAAAATTGCTGAAAGTTGCACATGATGATCAGCTCGATAAAGTCCTGTATGTCTGGTTTATTCAGGAACGAACATCTGGCACTTCAATTTCTGGTCCCCTAAATGATTTGTAAAAGTCTTGTTTCACAATTAATTGTCGTCTTTTCAATTTAATCAGTTTTGGTCTTCATTAATATTCATATTTTCGATTATATGGACCTTGATTATTCGGACTATTTCGTCTGGTCCCAACGAGTCCAGATAATCGAGGTTCGACTGTAATTACAAACACTATTGATAACAGAAAAAGAAATAAGTATACCATAAAATTCTGAAAATAAGCCCCTCCAAATATAAGCCCCCCAAACTCGTAACGCAAAAAACCCTCCGTTAACTTGCCCCTCCAAATATAAGGCCCCCCGGGGCCAGGGTAAATTTCCTTCCAACTATAAGGCTTTTGAAATGCAAATTTCCCCCTGTAGATAAGCCCCTCCGAATATAGGCCCCTCCAAAAATAAGCCCCTCAAAAAGAGCCTTTGAAAAATATAAGCCCCGTGGCTTATTTTCGGAACTTTATGGTATAATATTAGTACTGTGCAACATAATAACTTGTCAGTACACATTCAATTTGTTTTTTCGAAGATTTTTGACAGATGGATGAAGGAATGTTGTTCCAAAAATAATAATGAATAAAATAATTTTATATTAATTAAAGTATGCTACGCATGGCTAACATACTCTGTTTTCCTCATAGATAATCTGCACGACACTTTTGGGCTTGACTTCTGGAGCAGGTATTTCTTCTTTTTTGGGTTCATCTTGTTGTTTGGAAGCTTCATCCTCAAGTTGTTTCTACAATATTGGGCAAATATTGAAAACAATGTATGACCATAATGGTGAATAAGCTTTTAAGGTACATGTACATCTTCAGTTTATGTGAGTATATCAACACATGGTTATAGAATACATATTTTGAAAATAAAGGATGAAAACTTGTAGAAGAGCTATAAATGTACAAAAAAGTATTTATGTTAATCCACAGAAGTCACTGGTAATTTAGCTGTTTTTTGTGTGTAAGGCAATGCTTATTCCCACATCAAACTGAAAAGTGTTGTGTGACAACACAAAGAATGGCTTCTTAAGGTTACTGGATACCTTAGGGGTGTGTCACGTTCAAGTGTTGAAGCCCGTTTCGTTTAAACAGTAGATAACTAAAACCCTTTTTCAAATTAGACTGGCCAGTCCGCTATTTTTGCGGTAAGTTCGTCAAGATTGAGTGCTTACTATTGCAGGTGGCCATCTTGGTTTCAAATGTACCAAGTACCAAGGGGATAAGTATGAAATTAATGTAAGAGCTTGATTTTGACAATCTTAAACACTGATTTTGTTACAAATAGTTATGGTGAGTTGTCGGACTCATTTTGTGAGAAATCATGAGTCCCAGTTGAAAAAAAAAAACCAAAAAAAACGAGTCCAAAATTGAAAATACTTTGGCCTTTATGTAACCAGACAATTAAACTGAAGACGGACTTCAAAACTCTTTACTACAGTATAATGAAATTAAAATATAGACCTTCCATTTTAAAGCACAACAAAGGCTAACAGAAATATACATCGTCAAACAACAGCCATAATAACTACCACAGAAATTACACGAATAGGATATTTCTACAAAAAGACATGGATAGATTGATCAATCTTTGCGTGCTATGAGATGCATGCCAAGAATTATTTTGCATCTTTAAGGATTTTTATGTGTCAGGGATGCGAGATGCAGAGGTAACAAAATCACTGCCAATAGAAAAAATAGGGGGCTATGAACAGTCTAATATCAAATAGGCCACTTTCACAGGGTTGTCACTAAGATTTCAAGTTGGCAGGTAAATACGACAATTAGGTGGGAAATCAAACAGCTAGGGATTTTCTTTTTCAGATTATCAAAATTTTTCACAATTGGCTCTAAGGCTGAGGGTAATAAAACAAGAGAAATGAATTGTTGATCCCCGATTCTCAATGAGTTCTATTTACCCCTCAGCCTGTTGGTGCCAAGTATGAATTTTAATAACTTGAAACTGGCCAATTACAGATTATTAAACTAGCCATCTCAATAAACCATCATTTTGTTTAAAAAAAAGTGCACTGTCGATTTTTTTAATGATTTTTTAATCTGAACTCAAGCATGGTAAAAAGGATCCTAGTCTCTTACCTGCATTTTTTTAAGGTTGTTGATTTGTTGGTTGACCTGTGCAATCTCCCGGTCCACCTTCTCCATACCTTGTAAAAGTTCATCTTTAGACATCATATCTGATTGCTCATCTTTGACTTCTTTCTTACTATCACCACCTTTTTCCACGCCTGATTCAGAAGCTAGAGTGATTTATAATGGTAACAGGACTGAGTGGAGTTCAATTCAGACTGTAACCATACAACTGATCAAACGAAATCGGACAAGTGCGTAGCTGGGGTCCAATTTGTTCATTCACAAGTATGATTACAGACTGAATTGGACGAGACAAAGTTCTCTTTCCAAAGCTTTTTGAAAATGAAAACACAAAACTTTCCAATAATTTTTGGTTAGAAGTGAAAAAAAAAAAAAAAAACATCATTGTGCAGGTGCGATGGCATGTATGTTAATTAAAATATTCCCTACTATAGGTTAGGGCTAAGTGAGACAAAAGCCAATATTACAGTCAAACTCTAAACGTAATGGTTTGCCTTGATAACAAACATGTATTCAACTTGAGTGAAATAAACAATTTGTTTATGGCATCTGTCTCATACCACTAGCTTTAATGCTGCATAAATTAACACAGATAGGAGAGGGTAAAATCTACAAATTTCTTATACAAGTACAACTGTACTTATGTGATCTGTTCATTTAATTATTAAAAATAAACATAGTAAAACTGTCACTCATTCATAATGACTAATGATGAACTGATTTTACAATAATTTGTACATTTTGCATTAACTGTGATGCAATCTTTACAACACATAACTTGTTCAAATACAAATAACAGAGTCTTGTATTTACCTGGAGCAGAAGGAGATATGGCCTCCACCATAAGACCAGAATATGACTCCTATTCAATAAAAATTTATAGCAGTAAGTCACCCCTGTATATATTAATAAATGATGCCCCATCCTGTTTGCACAAGCTATAAACTTTCAGTATCTTAAATTGACCCTAGGGGGGTGTGGGGGGCACTTGGGTATTTTTTGGGTGGGTATGTGCTGCCCAGGACTCCAAATTGGCACCCGTTCTAAAAAAAATTTCCCCTAAAATTGATAACCCGTTCTAGAAATGGGCCAATTTTTTATACGCTGTTCTAGAATTCGCCCTAAAACTGACACCCCGTTTTAGAAATGGACCAATTTTTTATACTCCATTCTAGAAAGTTTGTAAATTGAAATAGCCCCGCTTTTTAAAAAGATATTTCTTTATTTGTTCGCTTATACATCAAATAAATGCTTCTTCATAATCAGCAACAATTTTAAGCAGAAGATAAAGCCGTGATCCACAATTTTTTTTATTTCCCATCTTATTAAAAATCGTGTTAAAAACTCTTATTAAAAAAAAATCATGAATATCAAGTTACTAAACTACAACGTAGATGTAGATTAAAGCAAATCACATAGATTACAATACTTTGTTTATCGGAGTGATCGTTAAATGCTCCACTTTCTTGCTTGTATCTTCGGTCTCAACAAAAGGCCAAACAAAGTGTTATCTAACAGTTTCTTGTTTTGCCGTCATAGACAACCAATGCGATTCTATTCGAAAGGAGCCAAGTAAAGGTCACTGGCAATTAAGTAAACATTCTGATCAAGAATCAAAATACGCCCGCCCTGCACGCTAAAACACAGGGTGCAACAAGAGTACAACAGTTTGCTTGTTAACGCATTGAATCGTATTTTCAAAAGCAATCCGTCCTTGAATAATTTCAAATGGCTGCTTACAAAACTGGAGCTTTCGTGCGTTCGAAATATTATAGCCCCTCCTAGAAAATGCCACTGAAATGGATACCCCGTTCTAAATCAGGAGCTTCAAAATCATGACCCCGTTGGGCGCACATACCCGTATAGGTAATGTATGGGAGTAACCCCCTGGGAAATTGCCCTGTGTGTAAGTAATTTATTTTTGACTGCTTCTGCTAGAATGCTATGCATTTTCCTAGAAAGGCATTCCAAGTGGCTTAAAGTTACACTGTACACTAACAACTTGACAATGAAAAATCAACATGCAGGGCTGTTGTCAAGAGCCGGGGGCCAGGGATTTTCCCCAGCCACTGTGAATGTGGCCTCTGGCTACTCTCATAGGAAAATAGAGGAAAAATAGAGCCAAAAGAAATCCCTAGCTGTTTGATTCCCTGCCTACTGTGCTTGATATATTTACCCGGCAACTTGAAATCTTAGTGACAACCCTGCAACATGACTTGTTTTCCACATAGAGTGTAAAACTACCTTTCTTTGAAGTCCTTCATGAGGTGAAAGTGAAGATATGAGAGTTGGCCTTCCTGTGCCATCTTTCAATTTATTCCCCAACACAGGACCATATCCAGGTACAGACTGAGATGGTGTGGAACAAACCGTGAGTAACGGACGCTGCTTTGAAGCCAGAATGCCATCATCTGAGGATGACACTGATGGTACGTTAGAGGAAGAAGTTGACTGTGATGTGACAACTAACAGTGGTTGAGTTACTGCAGAGCTTGTTGATGAAGGAGGTGAAGCAGGCCATGCCCTTGGTGACTGCTGTCGAGGTGAGAATCTTGGAGACACTTTCTTGGAGTGGGGTGACATTGGAGCAGTTGTAGACTGTTGCTGAGAGGAATGCCCATTGCCTTCAGTTGAAGATTGTCGCTTTTTACTGTGAGACTCAGATCTTTCAAAATCTCTTCTACTTGCATCTCTACAGGGAAATAACGAAACCTGTGAAGAGTCTTGCTTTGATTTAAATGGCTCATTGAGGGCAGCAAAGCTGCGCAGTGACAGAAATGGACTTGCATTCCAGAGGCCCCTATCTAAGTTCTGCCCTGACTGCTGCCTGGATTTGTTCTCGATAGTCCCAAGTTCAAAGCCTAGCTCAAGCATGTAAATAGATAGCTGGTTTGCCTTTGGTCAGTCGGGATTCTTAACCCTATTGTGTTTATTTGAATTGTTTGTTTCAGTCATTTGCATGGGCCCACTGTATGTAGCCTTTGTGTTATAAGTAGGGCCAAGACTAGATAGGGAATTGTTATTTTTATTAAGTTTTATTATTGCAGTTAATTCTCCCCGCTAATAAAACAGCAAATGGAGTGTTACAAATTTTCAACACAACTAACCTTTCATGAATCTTTAGATCTTTTTCGACACTAACTGAACTGAAGTCATTAAATTCACCCAATCCAACTTCCTGTAAACAAGAGAAAGAGATATTCATTAAAATATCCAGTGAGCGGATTTCAAATTACCGCAATAAATATTAATACACTTCCTTGTGGCCACCTAAAGTGTATTTAATATGTACTCTCCACTTAAACTCGTTTCCAAAAACATTGCTGAGCTTGGGAACTGGTGCCTTATTGGTTGATTGGGAGCCTAGACTATTCTGATGCAGCAGGGAAGTAACCATGGCAACCCTGTGAACAGGAACCACCCCTGGAAGCAGCCGCCAACTGGCACCATCACAATGAAGAGGATATCAGTGGAAAATACCTACCAGACCATAACCCAAGATCCAGATCAAAGAGGGTGGGAGGGAAGGGACCGCAATCTACCACGATTTGCAGCCAAAACAAGGCAAGTGTTTGGCAAAAAAAAACAGTAAAAAGGGCAACTGTAGTTACTACCGTAAATCCTCTATTAAGCCTCCCCTCTCAAATAAGCCCCCTTCCTCTAATAGCCCCCCCCTTTCAGGGGAAGAAAGTTAATAAGCCCCCCTCTATATTTAGCTCCGACCCCCTCCCCTCCCCTAATTATTCTACGCTAATAAATGAGAGACTGTATTAATCAATCATGACAGTAAAACTCAGTATGGACAGATCCGGGATGGTTTATTTACCAACTGGAAGTTCGGATTTGATTCTGATCCTTGGCTGCATGACCTCCAACCTTTTTGTTCTTGAGCTTCTCCACTTTGTATTTTAAATGTTTATGGAGAACTGATACCATCGTTTTTTCTAAATTAAATAAGCCCCCGTTCTCAAATAAGCCCCAAGTCTCTATTAAGCCCCCTGTCAAATGGGCTTGAAACAAATCAGCCCCCAGGAGGCTTAATGGAGGATTTACAGTAATACATTCATCACTAAGGTATAACACCTATATTTCACATGTATGCAATAGAAAATACTCATACCTGATGTCTCACAAATGGAGGGTCATAAAAAGCTGGTCCATAAGGTGCCATTTCATCATCACTGCTGTGGCGCCTCTGTCTCTTGTAAGGTGGACCACCATAGTAACCGTAAGATCTTTGGAAAAAATAAAATGGTAAGAAATTACATACTTCCTTTGTAGAGTTTTACCAGTATTAACTAAATAGAATCAGGAAGTTTTTGAGTGAACAAGTGATTATAGAAAGTTTGGTTTTGTAACTAGAATTAGGCCATTTCCTTTGATTTACTTTAAAAATAGTCAGGCAGATATAAAAAAGTGAACCGATAACAGTCAGATAAAAATGGTATATTAATACATGTAAGACATGAAACAAAGAAATTTAAATAAAGTAACCATAATACGGCAGTCATATCAATAGATCAGCTGCGTATGTAACACAGATGAGGTCAATACAGCTGTACATTAATGTCAAGAAGTCAAACCAAAGTATTCTGGTTTGTTAAGAGCAGGAAAACGTGAATGTACAAACTCCAAGGGAGTCAAAACCTCCAGAGCATCCCTGGCTGCAAAACAAACTATTGCAGCTGGTTCAAGTTTTGATTTTCACATGAAGTTGCCAATCAATCTGCATTATTTTAATCTGCTAAAGCTTTTTCTTTAAGTTTCCTTCATTGCCTCTCATGGCATCAGAATTGTTGATCACTTTATGTCAGGGTGCAAAGAAAGTCTGTTTTACAGCTTGCCATTCGGGTAAACTGTAGCAAGCATGTGCTAGCCCAAAATTCATTTCAACTAGCCCCAAAAACTCTTTGATGAGAAGAATTGATTGCACAGTTCTTCTGTAATTTATATTCCTCATAAAACCTTTACAAGTACTTGCCCATCACGCAAGTAAAGAACAGAACTCACTAGCCCAATTGCAAAATCCACTAGTCCCACGCTATCAGACACTACTTTCTTTGCACACTGTATGTGTGTTACTCATTATGGCTCAATGAGGTGAAAATTGACATGAACAAAAGGGGATGTCCCTTTTCCTCTCTCCGCAATCTACCCCTGTTCCCTTTCTCCCCAACCCTTTTCGACACCTGCCACACAGGCTACAAGGAATAGTCTCACAATTGTATGTTTTGCACATCAAAACCTTTGTAGAAATCTGACAAAACCAATAACTGACAAAACTTTTGGTCTATCCTTGACAGAAAAAAGTTCTATCACCTTTAAAAAAAGGACATCAACGAAGGCCTTTACAACAAAGGGTATTTTTTGCAGTGTTATCTTATGTTGCCACACTCCAAAACAAAGATCAGGGGTTTCGATAAGTTAACATTATTTCATTAAGGTGGGTAATTGAGGTGATTGGAATGGACACACCCCCTTCCCAAGAAGGGGGATCTAGCCAGGCATCCTACTTGGAATAATTATTTTAAAGTTCAGCACTCTTGGAGATTTATTTTCCTGTAATCTGAGGCATGACTTAAAGGGGCTGTGTCACAGCAGTCCAGTTCATTTTGTTTAATTTTGCCAATTACTCGCCCTCCGTCGCTATGGAACTTAAAGTAAGCAAAGAAATTACATGTAAATGACAAAATCAGAGATCTGAGACAAACATGCAAGCAGCAGGGATCAACTTTGAAAAACTGTTAGGCTGAACAGTTTTCAAAAACCCTAATTTCAATCCGCTTCAATCTTCTTCAGTTTTGCCCATCCATGGCATCTGTTGCTTCTGTTATGTTATTTTAACCCTCCTTTAAAGTTGTAAGCCGTTATTTTTATGTTTCTCTTAATTTAATGGGCATTAAATGTAATTTCCTACTTTGGCTGAATTTCGTGACACAGCTCCTTTAAGCAGAGTGTAAAGAAAATCAGTTTTAGAGCATGTGACATGCAAGCACATACTGTACCAGCCAAAAGCCATTTTGACTAGCCCCAAAAAATAAACGTCTTAAGTTGTTTCGCCAATGTGTTAGGTCAGTTCCCTAAATTCTTCTAAAAGAATGAGTTATACACAGGATGTGTGTATCAAATGTCTATGTCTGAAGGTTGAAGGAAGAGGTATAATAATTATGCATGAGTAGCACTTGTTTTTGTTTCATGAGAGTTATGACTTAGGACATAAGCTGAAAGGACATTCGCCAGGGCTGTCAAAAAGTTTTTAAGTAGCAGGCTGATAATGAATAGTAGGCGGCTTTGGAACTTGCACCAAAGGCACAAGTTTTTGAAGGCCGAGGAATCTAGGGACATTTTGAAATTTAGAGTCTCGGAAATGTCATGTCCAGGGGGTTTCAAGAGGTACTTTCCAACGCGGATGCCATGTTGTTTTGTCAGAATACATGCAAGACTGGGAACAATGCCGGCAAAATGTGCCAGGCATTCCACGACATCACACGGTTTGAAAATTTCACAGATCTAAACCTGTTTAAATATTCGTTCAATGTGATTCAAAACTGGGAAATGAATGTTTTACAATTAATTTTTTATTCAATGGGGCTTATTTTTCTGTTAGCAGTTATGGTAGAAGGAGGTGAAAGTAGCCAGCTAAGGATGGCTAACTAGCTGGTGGTTTTGGCCGGCTATCGGTCCTTATTGACAGCCCTGTTCGCAAAACAACGCATAAGCCACATAACAAGTCTAAAGTCTGTCCCATTCAACACACTTGCATATCACTCACACCTCTATCCCTGAGGAAATTGAGATACTAGTCTTAATCTAAGTAAAGAGAAGTTACAAAATCAAAAGTTTCAGAGGAGCTTTTCTTAGCCTGAGAAAACAGCCGATATTTGGTGATGCTACCACTGGTTTCCTGCCAAATGATGTCTGACTGGTTGAATCAAATTTCCCATGCGGCACGACCAATCAGAAGCACCACCCAGATCTGGGTAGCGACGTGTCATCAGTATGGAATTTCTGCGCTCGTTTCTCAGACGTCATTTGGCAGGGAAACCAGTGGTAGCATCGCCAAATGTCGGCTGGTTTCTCAGACTAAGCTTTTCTGAGACAAAACCCCAATAGAAAATTCGACCTTCAAAAAATTCAGTTGTTAAGAATGTCTGAATATACACGTATGGAAAAAAGATGGAATTGAAGCACGTACGGCTAAGCTTTAAAACCAAAATAAATGGTTTAAATTTAGCACAGAGAATTTAACTTGAACATGCACTACTTTAGGGTCGCAGTGGATGTTACCCTGAAAATTCAACTCCATATCTTGGTGGATATCCTCTGAGTCTCTCACCACTGGAATTGTATCTTTAATACAACAAGACAAGAGTTTATAAAATAGTAACCACTCAAACTAGGCACCCTAGTTTTCAGGGACGTTTCTAAGAGCTGGCTGCCTGCTTATAGGCCACTTTGAAAAAGAAACCATAATATTCTCAAATTGTCATTTGGTTAGTGCTTTGTGTAAACCTCATTTTTGCACCATCTTTTGTGCATGATTTGTACACGTAATGAGTCAGTTTGTCCAAAATTTTCATACTCAGTGTATTTGTGTACAAATGCAGATGTGCTAACCTTCAACATTGGCTGAAGTATAGTTTAGTACTTTTGTCTTTTTAATACCTTCAGGAGTTTGGCAACAAGGGTGAGTTGGAAGGACTCTTTAATCAGAGAGCTTTATATTCTAGTGCTTGCAAGCCTCCTATACATACTCTGAATTCTATAGTCATGTCATTGTAATAAAAAAAGGCCGGAATAATTTATTATTATTCATTATTGATTATTATGTTACTTTTGGAAATCAGCCACTGCACATGCAGTTCATGTAAAAAACAAAAGATAATGTCAACATTGGGTTTACATGAGACTCTGCCAAACAGTTATTTGAGAGTACTTAATTATTACAGTATATTCAAAGTGACCTATTTGACTGGCTGAAAAAGAACTAACCATCAGCTCAAAATTGCTCTAGAAAACAGACAAGGGGGAATTTTGAAGGTGCAGTTGAGTAAAAAAGCCAGCTTGACAAATAAAAAAAGCGAGCTAAGCTTTTCCTTAGCTTCATCTCTGCATGTCATCTTCCCAAAAATCAGACCTATGACACCAGAAATTTGTTTTTAAAGAGATACATGTAGCCATGCACCCTTAATATTGTCCTAAAAATGTGAAAAGTTAAGCAATGGAAAGGCAGTGGTGGCATAGCTATGTAGGGCAACAGCTCCAAATAGCTATTGGCTAAAAAACTTTGGGTGAGATGACTTGCAGATGACTAGACCACAAAGCTTTAAAATACACTAAAAGTTGGATTGGATCTGTCCTAGCCTGAGAAAATATTCGACATTTTGCAACACTACATATGGCAACTGGAATCTTTTTCTCAGGCTGGATAGGTCCAAGAGTAAAAATATATACTTTACAGGGATAAAAACACAATTACAGTGACTGAGAAGTCGACATCCTAGGCACAGTACAACTAAAAACGGAAAATACAGTACAAATAAACCCTATGTAGCGGCAAACCAGAACAGAATAACGCTAAAAAGGTGCATCAAACAAAAGTTCCATAGCTGCCGTAAGCTCTGACTAAATTACGTTGCAACCTTGAAATAATTCGTCAGCACAGTTTTATAACTGTTAATAACAACAAATTTCAAAATATAACTACAAAACGCCTTCTACACTTTTTTTAGTACGAAAAAAACACACCAGAGTTAACCTTTTACCAACAAATAGAAGAATATTATCGACATGAGAACCAATCTTGAATGAAACAGCTGCACCATAAAATAGTACAAATTTTCGCGCATGTAAGAAAATATAACAAGTATTTTGCTACTCACCGATGAGGTGGACCTCTAGACATACTCTAAAGTCTGTTTGCTAGCCGTAAATGATTGTTTTGGGCGTAGAAATGGCTTTGTTGTTTGCTAAGCTGTCCAGTAATAAGCTTTGACAAAGCCGCCATTTTGAGAACTAACAGACTGCGAAGGGCTTGGTACGGTATGACGTCACAACTTTTTGAGGGCAGCTGAGAACAGCTGAACTTACAGAAACATAAATCAACTGGGAGTCACTGCGATTTGTTTGAAGATGCTTTAGAAGGTGCCTTTTTTCCTAATTTGAGCAGTTAGTTGATCCTAGAATCCCGAAAGCACTTGGCCACTGACCCGTGAGCTATTAAAACGAGGAAGAGTTCACGCAGACCTCCTAATCGGAAGGAAACGCTCAAAAAGTCACTTAGCCAAGGAACGTTACAAACCGCACATTTGCAAGTAACAAAGGTTTTTGGCCACTTTAACACAAAAAAATGCGGAAACTTCGCTTAATACGTGAAAGTAACACGCTTTCATCTAGGAATTGTTCCAAGATTATTGAGACTTTTGAATAAATTTTTTCCCCAGCTGGGACGATCTAGACTAAGACAGTTGTTCTATTTTATCTCAATTTACTGGTTTGAGCCTTTCTCCCCAGTAACTGGAGAAAATCGTGCCAGGCTTTCGTTCAGGTTTTTACGGCCGATTTCAAAGGCCTGAACAAAAACAAAGAAATCAAATTTCCGCAAATTTGGTCAATGGTCAAGAGAATGTAGTCAGGAGGTATAAGCTATCTGAACAAATTGACTTAAAACGAACCAGTCATATGTTATAAAGGTCCCTTAATAATACAGACAATGTCATACTGATGTCGTTCTACGATGTTTAATCCAGCCTAGTTTTTTCTTGGCTGCGCAATGCCGCCCCCTATTGAGCGTCGTTAAGAAAGAATAATATAAGTTCTCTATTCGTTAGCGTTGCTCCCGATGCTTAAACTGAAAACAGTTAACAATACGAGTAACCATTTTTTTTTCAAATTTTCATGTAGTTCAAACCTTCCAGATTGGAGAAGGCCGGTGTAATGTAGGGATAAAAAAAGAGTTAAAAATTCCTTTTTGCGCTGAACGTAAAATGTGCATAATTTCTATCCGATCGATTTTTTTTCAATAGGTACTCAATACCCTCCGTGGTCATTATCGTCCCCAGAGCCACTAGGCTTCATTTGTAATCACGTGACCAAGAAACGACGGGCTCTGGGAATGAGAATGAACCGTGGTCAACTATTGGTCAATTGGTCAACTAATTTGGTCATCTAACGCATGATTTCACTTTAGATCCTAGGCCACTTTCGATTGACCGAAGCCTCTTTTTCAAACGAGGTTGCCCACTAACACCGAAGGCTTTGCACTTGGCCTAATTTTAAAAGAAAGGCACTCATGCCCCCCTCCCCCCCAAGGTGAAATCAAAGCAGTTCCTCCGGGGTACCATGGGTCAACATTCCTTGAGTAGAATGCCGCAGTATACAGCATATGGACGAATTTTTACTCTTGCACTTTTTCCTAAGTACTGAGGTCAATTAGGCTGCCTGAACACTCGGTTCCCCGATTGCTACTGCCTGGATACCGACAAAGGATAAGGCCAAGTAAAAACAAACACAAATGTTTCTCGTCTGGATTTCTGTTAGACTACGAGTAGTCCCCATTTTTTCCTCAGGGATAGTAGAGCGAGCGAAACGCGAGCGCGCGTGAGAATCAACCCACGCGAGAAAAGCGAGACGCGGCGGTGAGATAGAAAAATTTTTCAACATACAGGATGCTCCTTGAAGACATAGTTGCACTGCAATGTAATGGTATGCAGATTTTATATAAGGAATAAGCTGAAAACCACTAACTGCTCTTATCTACATGCACAACGTATCTTTTTCTTCAGAAAATAAGAACGTATTTAAGAACCTAAATAGCCTAAATTTGTACTAATTACCATTTATGTAAGAACCTGTTTAGGCAAACTTGGGAAAATGTATTTTCTCCATTTCACCCTGTAGGAAGCCAATCCCTCATATCACCTAGGATATCGGTTAGCAGTGAAGGAGCCAGGGGAAGGGCCAGGGTCCCAACTTATTTTTAGACCAAACTGAGGTCCGAAGGGCTGAAAGAAAAGTTTTGGAGAACGGGGCCCCCTCTAGCCTCCCCCGCAGGCGTTTTTAGGGGAGATCGTATTTCTTGGGAAGAAATACGATCTCCCCTAAAAACGCCTGCGGAGGAGGCTAGGCCCCCTCCCCCTATCCCAGGGTCTGCTCGGGGTCTGGATGAGGGCCCCTCCGCCCCGCCCCCTTATCTGAAGGTCTGGAACCTCCACTGGCTAGTTCACACAAGCTGCTCAAATAAATCCGACACTGAGGTGAAAGTAACTGGAAAAAGTACATCTGTTTCTCTGCGGCAGCTTAAACATCGTTGAAAAATTAAATACAGTGTGCAACCTCATCCCATGGGCTTTTTAAAATTGATAAATGCGATTAGTTTTTAGGGAGCCGATTAAAATCACGTTATTTTTATCAGACTTTGTCTATTTTCGTTAATTGAGCTCTCTAAATTGACTGACAAAGCAAGTCTTTTTGAAAGAAAAATGTCACGGTCACATGACTAAAAACAATATCTTTCAAAGAGCTGCAAGTCACGCTTTGTTACAGACTACTAATAAACTTTAAAAACTCCTCGCCTAAAGCCCCATTCACACCAAAGCTTAAACGTTTTAAAAAGCTGTTTAGTTGAACACAGTTAAAAATTTTTACTTCGTAAAGCTGCTTACTGAGTTAAGTTGACTGCAAATTTAGTGCAAATTACATCTCATTTGAAAACAGTGTTCAAGTTTTCTGGGATGACACTTTGGTGTGAATGGGGCATAAGTCTTCAACTTTAAACAGACGTTGTAGGATTCAATTTTTTTAAAATTCTACCTATGTACAATTTGTAATCGTTTTTATTAGCCTGCTAGCAATCTCACCATTTGGGCAAACAAAAGGAGCCACGCGAGAACGCTTGCTGTCACGTCTCATCTCGCGTGCCGCTCGCGCGGGTACTTTTCACGATATCTCCCAAATGGGAAGCTTGCTCGCAGGCTATCGCTTTTATTGACCTCTTCACAACTTTCAACGTTTTTTAAAAATTTTTAATTCTCTTTTTCTTTTTAGTTTGTAGCATAAGTGCTAAAATTATTATAACAGCGACATCTGATCAATGACCCCTTTAAAAAGAGGGCGTTTTTTTTACAGATAATTAAGTTTTAGGTATTTAAGCTTCATCAGCGTCTTAATGGGTGATTAATCATTCACTGACGTATAATAACGTTTGATAATTCTTAAACACTGCCAATGAATACCAAATTCTGCGTATATAGGGATCATTTAAAGTATTTGCCGCAAACTATTATCTTTAGACTGTTAAGCTTAGATTCATGAATCCTTAGATGTACTTGCCGACGGGTAGAATCGAAGAGCGTCTTTTCCGCAATCTCCGTGGAAAAGACGTTTGAGTGAAAAACAGTGGAATAACAGTCAAGCCGATCAGATGCAATTTTCCTAACTGCAATTCTAAAGGAAGCGTCTCATTGCCAACATGGAAGCAAGAAAAGCGAATGCAAGGGAGGACAGTAAGACGAATACAGTAACCAGCTTGACACCCGTCAAGTTCAAACAAAAAGAATATACGAAAAACGGTTGCAAGGAAGACACCATGAACAAGCCAGCAAAACAAATGACACCGCTTTTAAGCAAGCTAAGGCGAAGCTATGAGAACCACGTCAAATCGAAAGCTGACGGTTCCAAAGGAAGCCATAAGGCGCAAGCGAAAGCGGGATTAAGTAGTACAAAGTTTCAAAATGATCCTGTCAAGCAAAGGAGGAAATCGTACAGTGGTCCATCATATACATGTAGAAAAAATAACTTTCAATTTGGGCGAAAATTCTTAAGGAGCAAATCTTGGGGTAGCCGAGAGCTGACTTCACAAACTCAAAGACAAGCCGATGGCCAGATTGTGGGGGACTTTCAGTGTAATGAGAACGAACCAAAAAATGTCTGTAATAAGAACAAAGTTAACAAAAGCGTCATGAGTGTGAGCGAACCGAACCGTGTAAGCCTGTATAGCATTCTTAGACATTTTGAGCTCAAAGCCTTGAAGCTTCACAGAAAACCTGAACAGAAATGGGGTATCGAGCTGACTGAAGTTGGCGAAGAGTCATCAACGAGTCAAAATTACACAGAATTCAAGACTAAAGCGAGGCCGTTACTTTCATTCAATTCTATCACTGACCAAAGTGACGAAATCTCTCCTCCGTCAATTACCCATACTGGCCTTTTAATGACTGAATTACGAGAGAGTTTCAGAAAAAGTGTGAAACATAGAAAATGTGGAATAAAGGAACCCCTTTCAGTTGTTCCTAGAGAAGAAAATCATCAGCCTCGGCATGGAGTGCGCATTACTGGATTGACCGAGCAAGGAGTGGCGACTAGAGACGGAATGCTTGCAGTTGACGATTTGATTGTGGAGGTCAGGGTTGTGAGTTACTCTTTTAATTTTAGTGTCCAAAAGGAAAAAGTGGCCTTTTTACAAAGAGGATGAATTTACAGTGAAAGAAAGAGGTGAAAGAAAGAAGTGAATTTAACTGACGTGCAGGCTATTCACAGACCGTGTCTCTCCCTGTTTTTTTTTTTTCGGAGGGGAGGGGGACATCTGTTCAAGGGCTAGCCACAAGCGGGCTCGAGGGAAACTTGATGTGGTACCCGTCTGCCTATCTTGACTTTGTCTATTAGTCCTTTCTCCAATAATTTCCCATAATTCTTAGAAACCCTCGCCAACCCCCCCTCCGCCCCACACCCTCCAAAACCACTACTAACACCATTTTCTTCATCTGATGAAATCTGGGCGAGATTGAACTGCTAAAATATCTAAAGAATACTAATCTGACCGTTATGCCAACTTTAATAGTTCTTTACCTATAATGTTTTTAAGGCAACAGTTAACTGTTATTCTTGCGTTTGTTAGATCAATGGTGTTATGGTTGTGAATGTGTCGTTCGAAGAAGTTGTTACCATGCTAGAAGAATCCCTTACTCTGCATTTGGTGGTGCTCAGAGGAAAGCAGAAATAAAACAAAAAACATTGCTCTTGTGAAGTACATTCAGGCAACTCAAGGCTTAATGTAGGCTCGTTGAAAATCTACTTGATGGAAGCGAAACTTTTAAAATTTAAGATTAAGTAGTCTTTGTAGTATACTTTGGTAATACCTAGCTACTCCATCCGTACCGCTCTACAGTTTATGTTTTGGGTAGCCTAAGTTGTAAGGGTTTCCGCGCGAGTTCGTTGAGAAAGTTGGAACAAGAGCGAAAAAAAGGGATAAAAGGGGAGGGGTGAAAAGGAAACTGCGCCCTGCCCCTTCCCCTACCTCCATCTTTTTGGTTCTCGCTACAACTTCGATCGGAAACGCTTGCTACACAGGCCATGTTTTGGGTATTCGTCTTTTCTGTTTATATCTTTCAAAATAAAATATAAATGCCATGTGTCTTGCATTAACCTGGGCACCAGAGGCTTTTCTCGCGTACGGCGGGAATTTTCGGTGTTGGTCGAAGGCCAACACATCTTCGGCCGTAGGCCGAAGCGCGCTAGAAAAGTCTCTGGCACCCAGGGTAATCTTACATAAGTCGTAAGTAAAATTGTACGCAAATCTGTTATTAGTAAGAGCATATTATATGATTTTTCTAAGCTATATCAATGAGACGCTTGGTCAGAATATTTACTAGTGTATGAGGGAAGGTAAAAAATGCGTCTCATTTTTGCTCATACAAATGGCAATACACCCAGATCTGCAAAATTCTACTGCAGAAAGATATGTCAGGTCTTCTAAAACCAAAGAGGGAACACACAAAACTCCTTTTGAAATTTGAAGAGTAAATTCTAACAGTTACTTAAACTTCTGGGGTTTATAATTTGAAACTAGAACACACTAATAATGAAACCCCTAATACAAATAAGCTTTGTCCAAGCCAGGTTCTCAGGCAAATGGCTTGGCCGGAGGAGGGAACCCAATGTTGACCGTGTTATTGTTATCCGCCAACACTCGTACTCCTAAGTACGAGAGCAACCCATCCACCGTCAAACCTTGACTGCGCGTTATACTAGCGTACGCTTCCGCTTCCGCTTCCAAGGCAGCGAGAATACTAGAAGCTTCCGCTTCCGCTTTGGATAGGATGACCTTGCTGTCTGATGTAGCTTTCTGAACATTTATGAGTCCCTGCGTAACAGCTTCCTCCTTTGCAGTATTCGCCTCGATCAGCGCGCGCGGTCGTTGATTCCGCGCAATTTCAATGTTTTCCTTGGCAGATTCCTTGTTTCTGACCACAGTTTCGTATTCCGATGGCCGCTTGATGTTACTCACTTGGAGGTCGGTTATATCAGCGTTCACACTCGTAAAGCGTTTTTCCATTATGGTATAGACGAGTTCTTGAAAATAAGAGCGACGGGTTTGGAACTCGCTGGTATTGAATTGGCTGCAAGCGTCTTGGATGCTCGCACGGGCCAGAAACCTGCATCAGATTTAAAAGCCCAAAATAAAGACAAACTTAGACAACGGTTTTCTTTTGATAATTTGCCTTGATACGCACCATTCGCAGAAATCAGTTAATGGTAGCTAATGGTAAAAGCATATCAAAGGCGTGTTCTTTCGTTTATACCTCATTAGGCTCAATTTCCGTCGCCCTCTCGGCCCTCCCCGAGAATCTGTTCGTGGAAGGAGCTCGGGCTGGTCAGCATTAGATCTCACGCGACCTTAGCCCCTTTCTCCCCTCTTGAAATTTAAACAAGGTAGAACTGTTTTCTGCTTTTATATCACACTTCGATGAAAATGGAAATGTTCATAAACGTGCAAGTCTCTTCAATTTTAAAGAAAAAAATATTGATAGGAAAGACCGTAGGATTCGAACACACGACCCAGACGGTTCATTTTACTACGCTAACCACTAGTCCACCCAGTATTAGCTGGATCGATGGTAGAATCAACCCCAACGCTAAAAAAGAACCTAACCAGTTTCGAAACAGTGCTTAACCCTAATCAAAGGCAGTCCTTAACCCTAATCAGTAGAGGCAGTGCATAACCCTAATCTGTAAAAGGCAGTGCCTAACCCTAATTAGTAAAGGGGAAAATTACGTTGTGTAAATTTCATGAGGTGTCCGAAGGGGCTACAGTCGATAGGATCTAATGATAATCCCCGAACCCTAACCCCTGATCTGGTTCCGATAGACTGAAGCAGTAGTAAAAAGTAAAGAATTTGTGTCTTGGATGCGCACTTTTTTTTTTCAAAAAACTAGTCTTAGGGACAGTATTGTCTGGAACTTTCATATATTCTAGGTATACTTTTATGTCAAAAATTCCTGACTAGGCCCCAGACTGCTATGTAATATGATAACTAACTAAATTTAGCTATTCTGAAAAATCTGCCCAGTCCCTATGCCAGTCCTGTCTTTTTACTAAGGCCTCACAGTCAAGCACTTTAGTGACACATAACGATTTCTCTCGGATCTATGGTAACATTAAAAAGTTAAAAGGTTGAGTTTGATCGTCCGGGTGAACGTAGTCCTGAATAGGACTGTTGTTGTTGACTACAGGTTGTCGAAACGTCAGTCACTGTCAACAACAACAGTCCTATTCAGGACTACGTTCACCAGGACGATCAAACTCAACCTTTTGAAATAACTCCTGGGTTCAAACCTTTCACAGTATTAAAAAGTAAAGAACGTCTTACTGAAGTAATCCTCTTTGGCGGGGACCAAAGACTTTTCTCGTCTCCAGAGCTGCGGTCTTTTGGCCAGCGCCACGGATCGATCCATGGAGAAGAGAAAGGACCAACACCATTCTGGTCCCCAGGGCTTGTCGTTTTGTTTGGTAACTTTAAAAATAAGCCTAGTGGCCCTGGGGGCGAGAATGGCGCCAACACATAATCCTGCTCATGCGCACTACAGCTAACGGTGCGGCGCAATTCGCGGCGCAATGTATATCTACAGTGACGCATTAATAACTAAAAGACTTGAAACTAGGCAAACAAGGAGCTTTGCTTTTCATTTCCAGCCACATCAAAAGTTTTATGAGTTTACTTACTTGATCATTTTGACATAATTGTCATGGTCTTTAAACTCCATGATAATGTCTCTTAACTTCTGAGGCCTTGCACGGTACTGAAACTCAATCTGCAGCTCAATGTCCACGCCTTCGCGATTAAGACATTCCTCCTTATCAAACTCCAGGGTTTTGAAAACGCTTGGAAACTTGATAAATTTGAAGCCAGGTGCACCATTATGTAAGCCAGCTTTCTTAGTATCGGAGGAGAGTTTCTTTTGATAGGTGTCATACGCAACACCAACTGTTGGAAGTAAGAGAAAAGAAACACAGCTCGCACACGGTCCGTAGGTAACCTGTGCCATGCTGTTAGGTAGTGAAGACGTCGCGGAAACGAGGTCAAAGGAAAATGGGACGCGCGTGATCTAGGAAAGGGGGGAGCGGCGGGAAAAAATGACCTTCTATCTCCCCAGCCCCCGCGCTTTTTTGGCTTAACTTTGTACGATCTCTTCACATTACTATCTTGAAGCCTGGTGACAGGCTAACCCATGGAAGTCTACGTATTTTAAAGCTGTTGCGCCAAGGATGGAATGTTACTTCATAGAAGTGTTGCATCATCTCTGTTGATAACGATTTCGAGAGAATACTTAGGCAGGAACCCTTGGGTGCCTATGAACTCTCCACACACCCCACCCCCGTTAAGGCAAAAAAGGAAAGTAATCATGAAACAACCAGATTATTGCGAATAAAAAGACAATCATAATTTACATTTTGTCGGCTGAATCCAGAGATCAACTGGTGGGAAACTCGATAAAATTTTTCCGCCTGTCAGAATTTTACTAGTCTGTGTAGCAGGTGCTAGGAATTAATGGACGTAAGAAAAAATTGGCACGCGCGAGGGAGAAACGCTTGTCTCCCTCGCGCGTCTCTTCTTCCTTGCCCCCAAGCGCCTGCTAAGCAGGCTAGAATTTTGCTATTGTCTTATAACTCTTAACCCTTTAAGACCTAAATTTATTTTTTGCACATTTTAAGATCTAAGGCTGGTATTGTTAAATGCACTGAATCTTCCTTCAAATTTAAGGTATCAACATAAACTTTGGATATCTGGTAGACAAGACTTTGGGCTATCTGCCAAGCCACTTTTTATTGATAAGTAACGAATAAATAATAATTAACAGGTTGTTAAATATTAAGTTCATGTCACACAACAAGTTCACTTTAATCTGGTAGCCCACAATGGAAATCCACTCAGTGTCTAAGAACGAAACCTATACGGACTGTTTACATTATTATCCTTTTAATAAGATTCAGGCAGTCACGCACTCGTGCAAGAGCTTCTATCTCCTCCACGCCCTTTTTCGAGACACTTGTGAGCGAATTGGCGTTTTAGAACAGATTTAAGTGTAGAAATACTTATTAAAAATCCGTTCTAGTTCGTAGCAAACAAAGAAGAAGGAAATTAAACTACTTTCCATCCTCATCTCCCCAAAAGTAATCCAAAACGTGACATGACCTGAACAGTTCATTTTAACCCGTGTTCATCCCTAATGGACTGAATCAATTAACTCGGATGAAGGTATACTCCGATCCCTGTCGCTGGGCCGCAGAGTGAGACGATTGCGGTACTTGTAAAAACACATCAAAGTATTTTCTATTCCACATTTACGATGTTATGTAGCGGTTTCATATATAAGGTCTGATAAGGTAGGAAGCTCAAATTCAAATCTGAACAGCGGCTAAAACAGAATATTTAATAGTACCTACCTTCGTCCGAGGCAAGCTTACGCAGAGAAGTCGCTATAAGTGCTATAGACATTATAACAATCGCTACAAAGAAAACGCAGCATCCGCCCATAAAAATGGATTTTTTAAATTCGCCCATCTTCACAGCGATTTAGGAGATGTGCAGAGTTGCATGCATGGAGGTGATGGAGGTGACTTTGTAAGATATGTCTGTCGAGTTGTCAATAGTGGATTGACAGAAAGTGGGGGGATAAGGTTAGTGAAAAGTAAGGGGAGCCATGTACTGATTTGCACTTAGTCTAATAAATATGTTGAGTGTCTTAAATTATAGCTCCCAGCTTTGTCAAAGGATCAACAAGATTTTACTTAGGAAGTTAACTCTAACAAAATTGTCTACACCTTTATTTCCGGCGTTTAATCTACAACTAGAAAAATTTCCCATCCGAGAAAAGAGAAATTCTTAAGGAGGGTTATTTGGAAAAAAGTAACCCCCGGAATTATCCTTGGGCAGGGGTGAAAGACATGTTTAAGTCACAAAACAACAGACTTGATTGGTTTAGAACTCTCGACAATGTCAAATCATTGTAAAGATAACTTACGAAAGAGCAATATTTTGTTTTCTCCTCGACCTTCTGCCTGCAGGAGTTACCATTTTGCCCGAGAAGAGGGACAAAATAATTGCTGTTTAAGGAATCTATGGACATTGAAGAAGGCCAAAGACCTCGCGTAGTCACCGGTGGAATGCAGGGGTACCAAAAATGTCTGCTTATATTCTTGGGGATCGGACTTTTGACCATGGTGATCGTTTTGCCCCTGAGTTTCAGTGGGGTCGAATATTACGAGGTAGGTATTTGCCCAATATTGAATACTTATGTTAAAAATACTACAGCCTAAAAAATCGTTTCGCGGTTGTTAATGTAGCTTTGCTGTGAACTGTAGTATTAATCCGAATTCTGCAGAACGACAAGCGACAAGCACTGCAATTGCATGACACTTGATTTTCAGAGACACTCCCTTGCTTGTACTTTGAAGGTCACGCAATACGCTGCCTCTCAAATCGAGGACAAAGTCAAACAGCTTACACCCGGCAGGAAGGAAATAGATCAATGTTTGTCAATAGAATATATAAAAGGAGCACAATAACACTCTGCCGAAGACACCCTTATAAAAACCGGTAGTTTTCGCCATTGTGAGATCGCTTTGCCTGAGATAGGTCGCTGTCGCGTTTTGTTTTTGGACAGTCAATTCCTTGCACTTTTTCCTCCGGGCTATTTTACCAATGATAAACCCTCTTTAAAATAGGCTTCATGTAGCTACATTTAATAGGTCAAGCTGCATCTGCGTACAACACATTTCTCATTCTTAATTTTCCAGCTGGGAATTAGGAAACAAAAGTCAACTGGGAATATCAAACTGGATAAAGTATACACTGGCGGTCGACACTTGATTGGTCCTGATTATACGTTCAAAAAATTTGAGGCTACAGTGCATTACGAGGAGCTGAAGAAGATCGCAACCTTTACTAAAGGAACTGCTGATAGTCTTGGCGTGGCAGTCGAGATTACTTGTGCGATGCAGTATTTCCTTCGCCCAGAAGACCTGAAAGATTTGCATCAGCAGTATGACTTGTATTACAAGTATGGCTTTATTAACTTTTTCCTTGCCTCCTAGCCTGTATTTTTGCGTAGGTCAAGTACGCATAAGCGGTCCAAAGGAGGGTCTGGAGCGAAGATAAAAACGGAAAGTGAGACTGGGGAGAGACGCGAACAATAGTAAGGCCTGTGAAGCTCGTGTGCTTCACGCGAGAATTTCAGGCTGACGCATCGCGCATTGAAAACAGATTCAGAGAAAAAGACCCCACTGTTTTGCAGTCTTATGCACCCGGCTACTTGCACCCCTTTCTCTTCTATTGTTACTTAACTAAGGGCCTAAAGCAGTATGCGGCGGTATTACGATGGGTCGCGTGTCAGTGCTGATCGAATTGATTTGCGTTTTTTTACAGGCCTGTCGTTAGAACAACAGCAAATGCAGCCATTAAGGGTCGTGCTGCAGAATTGTCAGTGTCCCAGTTTATTCGTGATAGAGAAACAGTGGAAACGGAACTCTTTAAGGCAGTTAAACGTAGACTTGAAGGTATGTTTATGTACATAAAGACTTTGTGAAGTAAAAATGTACTTGTTTGCGGACTGAAATGACTCTACATCAAGAGATCCCTAATACGACATTATGATCTCTTGCTCTTCTTCGAATTCGAACCGTTAAATGCTGAAGGAAATTGAAAAAACGATTGTTTTGCGGTCTTGGGTCTATGGGTTTTTGCGACGTAATTGAAGCCGTGACGATCACTCTTGATGAAACGACGATTTTAGAGATTAGAGCGACGATTTAATTGCCATCCCGATTAAGTTTGATAACGTTAGTCGTGCTATGACGGCAACTAAAACTGTCAAAACGTGTGCTGCACATTGAGACTTTTTATTTGCTTATAAAATCTACAACCTGTAGCGTAAAGGTTTTGTTATTTCCTCTTTCCCGTCTTCGTCACCTTGGTTACTCAAGCTTGCTAGCGACGTTACCAAGGAGAAAAATTCTTGACATGCGACGGTTTCGTTGAAAAACCGACGATTTGATGGAAAACGCGCGACGAAAATAATGACCAAAGGTTCTCAGAGACTCACCTTTGGACTCAGGCTCAGAAAGCGTCATTTTTTAGAAAAAAAAAATTAAGGGAATCCGACGGGGTTTTTACAAGGCTTTTTGTCTGGTTTAAAGCAGTCGGAGGCTTCCTCGCAAAAGAAACGGGCTTTTCCAAATGTAGTACCTATTTTCGGCCTCAGTTAGCTAAACGATTCCAAGAATTCCCCAATATTATGTTGTTGGAAATGCGTTCTGTAATGCTTTGTGTCTATGTTTGTTTTGGTATTTTTGTTATTTCCTTCATAGGCACCTGTTGTCTCAAGGATTGTGCCGCCAAAAAAGCGTGCGTTCCCGGATGTGTGGAGTACTCCAAGTGTACGACGTCTCAAAAAGGCCTGTTTGTAGAAGTTAGATATTTTCAGTTCTTGGATTTTGACATCCATGATGATGTAAAGAAGAAATATTTTGAACGGGTGAAAGAAGTAGAGCAGAAACAGCAGGCTCAGTTTGAGCAAGATGAGAAGGTCAGCGATAAATCGTGAAACCTTCCTTTTTAGTTCATAATAATTTCCGTTTTTCCTCAGTGATGACGCCTATTTTCGCCCTCCGCTTCGTCGAAAAGATGAGATATGGGCAGGAGATTTAGTTCATGACTCCGCAAAACAGAAGCCAATGCATAGAACCTCCTTACTTGCTTTTCCGTTCTTTTTAATTCGTCTTTTCTTAGTCATGATCAGTTTGCAAAGAAAAAAATATCGAAAGTACCCGATTGGGAGTGGAGGACAAGTGAATGGCATTCTTTGAATTACAGATAATTACAGTCGACTTTCTTTAAGACGGACACCTTTGGAACGGCAATATGTGTCTATCTTAGGGCCTGTTTACATGAAGGTGGGGGACCCCTGGTAGGTGAGGTAACATGTGGCGGGTTACCCCACCTAACATGTAAACGTGATCACATTAAAATGAGAGATTGCATGGACAGGCGGGTTACCTCACCTACCTGGGGTTCCCTACCTCCATGTAAACAGGCCCTTAGAGAGATCTCCATCTAATAAAGAGTCAGCTTAGCTCAAGAGTAAAGAAAGGCATGGTGTCTGTTTTAGCAAGGTGTCCGTTCTACAGAGGTGTCCGTTCTATGAGGGGTCCGTTCTATAGAGGTGTCCGTTCTATGGAGGTGTCAGTTCCATAGACGTGTCTATTCTATAGAGATGTCCGTTCTATAGAGGTGTCTTTTCTGAAGAGGTGTCCATTCCATAAAGGTGTCCGTTCTATAGAGGTGTCCATTCTATACAGGTATCCGTTCTATAGAGGTGTCCGGTAAGAAAGAGTTGACTATCGCACTTAGCTACTACTCTAACAATGATCCAAAAACATCATTAAAAAGCCAACTCTAGTAGCAGACAGTCAGTTGAGTCGTTTTACAAGTAAATTAAGTACGGCCGAACAGAGACAAACATCCTGAAAAAACAGGCTAGCAATCAAAGAGAGACTAACCCATGGACGTCTAGGTGCGAATCCGACGCGCTGACTACTCGGCTGCGCTGCCACGGCAAAACGCGGTTGACAATGTAATTGCCGGTTTCGTTTAGGTTTTAATCCACTATTATGTTTTTCTACGCAGGTCGTGCGAAAGGAAACTGAGCGCATGAAGAACGAAATCAACAACGCAGCCGCAGAAATCGCACAGAATTCCTCTGCCCAAGCCACAGTCATTCTTGCGAAGGCAAAAGCCGAAGCGCTACTTAAGGTGGAGAAAGCACGTGACACGGGGCTGTCCTACATCTACCAACAACTGAATATTACTAAAGAAGCACAAAAGTCTGCCTTCAATTATTTACGCACGCTTCGGGGGCAACAAAACGTCAAGCTTAATGTTGGTTACCAAACGCTTATGGCAAGAGATTAAAGGAGAGATTATGGCAAGAGGTTTATGGAAACTACTGAAACTCAATCCCGTCGAGTGATCTGACTAATGGTTTCTGTAGGAATGATATCTTCTCTTAGTTATTCGTAATCATTTGACGTTTTAAGTTACAATATGTTATTTCAGAAGACACTTGCTTAGTTTCTAGAAGTCACTTGTTGGAAGGTTTCAACTGGGTTAACTGTCAGCCGAAAAACGACGATAAATTAAGTTGTTAACAAAAATTCGAGAAAAAAGTAATTGTTTGTCGTGAAAAATAGCGTATAGCAGACACCAGTTATTTTTTTGGTCATTTTTTATGAAACGCCCCGCTCGCGAGTTGAAGACGCGAAGACCACTCTTCCAGAGAGGTGGAGTCCGAGTTCTTAGTTCAGTAATAATTTTAACATTATCTATAAATAAAAAAATCAGAGGTCAGAGACGAGGGACTTGAGATGGTGTTAGAGTTAAGGCTTTCAGGATGTTGGAAGGGAAGCCCCTCTATTAAAGGGTGCCTTAAACCTCTGCTCGCTGATGATTTAAGATCGTTGAAATTACACTTATGGCCTAGAAGTTGAATGAGGTGTCGGCCACATGTTGTTCAAATGCATTGAAATGCAGTCCGGGCGTGTAGCGACAAAACCTTTCTTATTACCCGGGGCAATATTTCTCCCTAATGATCGCTCTTTTCCTAAGCTTCTTGAGGTTTTCTGAGACACGTCTTTCTAGTACAATGTTGCATGTTTTTACTGAAGTCCACAAAAGACGGTAAAGCGGTAATCATATGCAGTCAAGGACTGCCTTTTATAAGAAATTCGTTTTTTAAAAAGGGGACACGAAAATGCATTACAAAAAAAGTCATTTTCTCCTCTTACGCTACAGTCATTTTAAATATTTAACACATGCAATTAAAGATTACAATCTAAACTATACGCCTGCTAGGCCGCGTATTGACCAACTGTACCACTTAACATTACCAATGCAATTGACCAAAATTTTGAAGAACAGAAGTCAAAGAAGTTATGCATGCTTGCTACTTACATATAAAAAACCCAATTCGCCAGGTTAGGAAACGAGAGGGAAACTGGGCCGAGTTACTTTTACAAAGATTTTTGGGACTGTCACAAGGAACAGGGAAAAAATTGACCAACAGCTGACCTGAGTGTCCCCAGGGACACATTTCAGCTCCATCCCCTTTATCGTTTCCAAAGTGGCGATGTTACGGTGATACAGGCATCCCCATTCCCCAAACCCTAGTGGTATGGGCATCCCCTTCTCATGTTACCTTAACGATTTGGGGTTACCGGGGATGCCCATATCACTAGAGTTTTGGGAATGGGGACGCCCATATCACTGTGACAGCGAATCAGTGCAATTTGTCGAATGGTAGTTATACATGCTTATCAACTTAATTCTGAAATTGCGCAAGTGATTTATAGCCTACATTCAGCTTTACATTTTTGTTCTGACGTAGTGATCGTAGGTAATTGAACGCTGCCTTCTGCTCATCTGTAGTGATCCCTAACACTGTGTACATGTTCTTCAAACCATCAGATCTTGCCTTCTCCACTATACCCAGAGCGTCTGCCTTGGCCTGGGCACTAATCACCGTTGCCTTGGCGCTTGCATTCTGCGCAATCTCCCTGGCTTGGTTAAAGATTTCGTTTTTGATTCTCTCGGTTTCCTTGCGAACCACCTATTTTGTGGAAAAATGAAGGGATTATACACCACTGACTCGAAGGAGTCGAATCTTAAAATTTATGTACATCCTCTAGGCAGCCTTTCGTGTATGAGGGTCCGTAATAGGTTTTTCCGGGATGCGGGATTTGCCTTACTTGACGGCCGGGATTCGGGATTCTTAAGCAAAATGGGGGTGGTATTCGGGATTTAAATTATGCACGGGATGCGGGATGCCCAAAATAGTCATCGGGATTACGGGATTGAAGGAAAAATTTGGTTCGGGATGACGGGATTAAAGAACCCTATACGGTCAAGCGAGGGTCGCCCTTTATCCATAGAGGGTCTCAAGTAGGTTTATCGGGACACGGTATTTGCCTTATATGAATGCCGGGATTCGGGATTTTGAAGCAAAACAGGGGCAAGATTTCGGGAATGAAAGTATCACGGTATGCGGGATGCCGAAAATAACCATCGGGATTGCGGGATTGGGTCGGGGTGACGGGATCGAATAGCCCTAATGGTACTGCTGTGGTAATTGTGTACTAGCATAATCGCTACATTCGGCCCTACAACTTTGTAACAGAACTTATCACCTTCTCTTGCAACTCAAATTCGGCCCGTTCTTCCTCAGCTGCCTCAGTGACCTGTCGCAGGTAGCGACTCTTGACATCTTCATGAACATCAACTTCAAGCAGCTGGAAATATCGTACTTCTACGAATATTCCCTTTTGATTGCTCTTACACAGAGCATTTGTTATACAGTAACCACAAGGCGGCATTTCTCCTTCCTTAGGAGGACATGTCTCCCTGCAACATCCATCCACACGTCTTGCCAGCGCTTTGAAAAGCTCTCTTTCTATATTTTCGCGATTCCTGGGTATCGATAGAAAAAGTCTGTTTTTAGCAGTGGTGGATCCAGGGGAGGGGCCTAGCCCCCCCTTATTTTTAGACCAAACTGAGGCCCGAAGGGCAGAAAAAAAATTTTTTTTTGAGACCGCCCCCCTTTATCTCAGGGTCTGGATGACCGGGCCCCCCTTATCTAAAGATCTGGATCCGCCACTGGTCCGTAAGCAAATTGCAGCTGAAAGAGTGTTAAAAGAACTGAAGCAAACAACATCAGTGAGGGACAATTTGTGAATACCGAGCGGAGGTTACTCCCTATAATAGGGTGTATGGAAAGGCTCCAATTGAAGAAGGTCCCTTTTCTACGTAATACGTACAAAAAGGGCGGGGATTACGAAAGCTATGAGGAGAAATCCAGGACAGTCAGGTCAGTCAGTAGCTAAAGTGTGGGCTCATATGATGTTTCGTTCGTTTTAGAAATTTGTAGGGGAAAGAGGGCAAGCAATTGAGCTTTTATAGTATAGTATAGTATAGTATAGTATAGTATAGTATAGTATAGTATAGTATAGTATAGTATAGTATAGTATAGTATAGTATAGTATAGTATAGTATAGTATAGTATAGTATAGTATAGTATAGTATATATAAGTATAGCTGTTTCAATAAAGGTTGCTTCGGGCATAGGGAAGCTATTGTATGATGGTTACTTAAGTAAATCATTGCATTATTCCATATGCCCAAATGTCCAATTACCTGTGACCAATTACCAACGCAACCTCTTTTGATTTAGCTGTATATGGAAGTTCACAGTCGTTACTATAATCTGTTTGAAGAGGTCGTTGCTAACAGCTAAATTACTCATAAAAGTTTCTCTCTTTTCTTAAACAAACCTAATGTAATCGTCGATTGGTAAATCCGCTGCCCGCCCTTTTATAGCGTCTATAGCTGTTCCCTTGACAACGGGCTGATAGTCAACATTGTAGGCCTCATGCAAGTCTGGCAGAAAGTTCTTTTTAAGGAAATACTGAAAAGTGCAGGTTATCTTGATTTCAATCTTATCTCCTGTCCACACTGCAATCTTGTCCAATTTTACAAAATGTGCATTGGCCTGGAACACCTTGAATGTGTAGTCCGGGCCTACGAAGTATCGCCCGGAGGTATATACCTTATCGATGTCGACATAACCAGTGGATTTACGTCTTTTGAAGCCGAGCTGCGATAAAAAATACGGTAGGAATAATTAGCTGTCAGACTCGACTGATGCAAGATTATAGTGCCCACACTGAGTCTTCGAAAAATTAGGATTGAGGCACCATCCAAACTACGCTGTTGAAAAATGAAAAGTATATTGGGGAAGTTAGCTGTTTAAATTTGCTGATTTCCTTTTTAAAGTAAACTTTCAGTTCAGTTCAAAAGTTATTTTATTATTATTCATTTACCGCTACAGCAACCCCTCAAAAAGAGGATTATTAGTCGGTGTGGTAAAAAAACAAACAGACAAAACACTTAGTAACTGTTAGTTGGTGCATGTAGCTCAATTCCGAAAACAATGAGTCTAAAATCACTCCAGCTGATGATAGGAGATTTCAGACACACTGGCCAAGAAGTAAGCAGGATCAGCGAAGAGAGTACTGAAATACATCTTGAGGTAAGGAGTTCCACTGGACTATAGTCCTAGAATAGAGAGACAGTCTGTGAGAGGTTGTTGAGGTCGAAATCGGAGTGAAGGAGTGATCTTAGAAACCACCTGCCATAGAATGTCAACTTTTACGTAGTTTTTTTAAAGATTTTCGACGACGTAGATGGTTCTCTCGCATTCTGGTCACAGCCGTCTGGTCGTAAAAACGTTTCCAATGGATTTTCAATGAAGTTTTATCTTGTAAGCATGCACTAAGAGTTTTTTTTTTTTTCATGCTCAAAGAATTTCATAATACAGCTTATCATAAGACCTGAAGCTAAGGTAATACGTATATTCTTCGTTTCTTGATCGGAAATCTTCGAACGCCTTTAGTAATTTTCGGGAAGTGACGTCAATCATCTGGGAAAATGTCTCACTACCAGTATATAGCCACTTGTATCAAATCGATCAATCATTTTCCTGTGGCACTATTACACTAGAAGGATGTTTGCTTGTTGAGACGGCTATGAAACTGCCCACCTACCCCTCCACTAAGCCAACATTTTGCTCTAAGTAAGAACTAAGTATAGATATTGGTTTAGGGGAGGGGTAGGTGGGCAGTTTCCCAGAAACGTAAAATGATCCGTTTAGACATGCACATCGTCAATGTAAGAAACTAACTCTTCAGAAACAAACTCCTAAAAATGTACTGTTTTTGCTGCAAAACATCAAGCTTAACAAAGAATATTTCAAGGCTAAGGTTTTCGCATAACAAGTATACATATTTTTTGCCATTTACAATCAGACTAACCAGGCATTTATAATAAAGACACAAAGTAACTAATGAAAGTGTTAAAACTTCATACCCTTACTGCGTATCGAAACATGGTATAACACAAATATATAGAGGTTACAAGAGAGGGCCTCAATGAGACAGTTCACCGTTAGCTGTTCACTTTAGAACGGCTAAAACACTAATCGTGGCGTACGACTTGTTTCGGGTTCTGAGTAAGTGTGAATGAGTTTTACTATTAGCCGTAATCAGCCAAACTTTTAATTGTAAGGCGTAAAATTTTGGAAAATTCAGTTTAACAGCTAGTTAAAGCTTTTCCTTGTTTCAAGAGATTCGCTAGTCACGTACATGTACAGTAGACTTCCAATAACTCGAACCTTCACGAAGAGATCGAAAACAGTTCGAGTTATCGAGAGCTCGAAAGGATGGAATGGGGGAGTAAAGCAAGTACTGTACACTTCTTTTCAAGGGAAGCAAGAGATATATTGATATTTTGAAAACGAAATTTCGCAACAATACCTTGATTAATAACCCTAAACATTATATTTGAATTGGACTGACGAAAAATAAAGAATCTTAAAGAGAAAGATTACACGATTGTTTTGACGGAAGTTCTATGTTTCACTGCGTTTTTTTCGAATTTTCACGCGCTTAAAACATGGTTCGAGTTATCGAGGGTAAAATTGTATAGAAATGATCTGAAGGGAAACAAAAATTACTTTTAGAGCCGGAGGTTCGAGTTATCAAGGGTAAAATTACAGTAAATCAATGTAGTAAATTTAAGAATCTTGGCCTTCGAGTTAGCGAGAGGTTCGAGTTATCGGGAGTCGACTTTATAATGTCTTGTAACTTTAAAACCCTTTCTTTTCCGTTCCTGAGATTTCCGTTCACATAACAGAACGATACCAACCGTTAACCGTTTTAAACAACAAAACAGGGACCTAAAGATTGCAGGACGGGCGACGGCAACGAAAACGTCACTGAAAAAGTGAATTCGCGCTCTTTTAATCTTCATCGCGATTACTTCAAGTCACTAACTTTGTCAAATGTAGGTGAACCCTCCTAAAGTTGAATTCCTAAGAACCATATCCAACTTCACAAATAGAGAAGAAATTTGGTCATCGCTTGTGTCTTTCCTCTGTGAAACGCGAAATTAGGCATTTTCACGTCGTAGTCGTGCAGTGACGGCAAAGAAATGTGCAAATAAACGTGATGCAAGTGCAAAATTGTTGTTTTGGTTATTAAACCTATTGCTTTTTTGACGTCCTCGTTGCTGTCGTCGTCGTTGGATCTTAAGGTCCCTAATATCAACTGTTATTGGGTTGTATGAATGACAACTGCACATATTCGACTGTTTACCGCCGTTAAAGTTTCCACCCCATTGAGACCCTTTAGCGAATTCCGTTGCAACTTCCTCGCATACCTCGTAATATTCGACATCGGAAAAGCTAACTGGCCATATGATAACGAGGAGAAGAAGTAGCAAACATGTACAAATGAGAGCTACTACTTGCACTTTTCGCGTGGAAGATGTCATAACATTTGAGTCAGAGAGACAAACTTCCCTCTCCCCGAGAAATGACGAGTCACCGCTTGGAGGCTGTAAACGCGGAAGTCAGAAATGACAGGTTGTATTCACGGCTCAGTGATGCATTTTTCAATCACGAACGCCGGTAAATGTCAGTATTATATTGGGTCTTCTGATGCAAGGATTAAGAAACCTCCACATGAATCCGGACATTTTTGAAACCGCATGTTTTGTTACCCTTATTAGTGTGTACCGGGCTATAAACCACTTTGGAGAGGAGGTTTAACAAAGATGCTGTTTCGATGATCATAATACGTTTTTGCGAAACTGCCCACCTACCCCTCCTCTAAGCCAATATTTTGCCCTAAGTGAGGGCAAAATGGGGGAGGGGAGGGTGGGTGGGCAGTAAACTTATAATGATCCTTCTTGACCGGTTTCAAAAATATCCTGATTTGTCTGGACGTAGCCAAAGATTCTGGGCTTTAATTCTTACTGGGTAAGAACTGAACCAGGCACTGCCACTGCTCCAAGACGCTGTCAAGTCTTTCAGTAACACTCCAAGGTTAAAGTGTTTAGTTGTTGTTTGTGTGCATACAATATTCTGATATTGGCTTTCAGCCCTTTGTTTAAGCGTGATATTGTGGTCTTATAGGTGCTCAGTGAGGTATAGGTCTGTCGGTTTTTAATTCACTCGTGCGTTTAGTCATGTCTCTTAGGAGTGCTGATATCTTCAAAAAAGGTTCTCTGGACCCGCTTGCATAAAACAACTCAAGATCAAGTGCTTATTTTCGTCAAACATTGCCTTAGTTTCGAATGGTTTTCGTGCCTAAGATCACGAAAAACTCCGTCAAGGCAGTATGACGAGTATATTAACCATAAAGAGACCACGACAAATTGCTTTCCAGTATAGAAAGCCCGCAAAAATTTCTGTTTGATCCTTAGGTGCTATATATACAACAGCGCCCAAAAGCCTGGGTGGCAGTGCATATATTATGGTCACTCCAATCAAGGGTGTGGTAAGGGAAGGAGTGCTTTGAATACGACGAAGACCTCTACTGTTTGGCCTTAATCTTTGTGAATTTGGTTAACGCTCATATTATTTTCATCGTTTTTGCAAAAGCAAGGCTGCTCTACTTTTAGATTGTTAACGAGAGCGCAAAGTAAGCGAACAAAAATAGACAAGGAGTATTTTTACTTCCTCTTTCATGGAAAACTACTGAACGTAATGATTATTGACTAGGTGTCCGCAACGGTATTGATATGTAAATGCAAGATGCAGGTATAGAACATGTTTTAAAATGAATGAATGAACTTTATTTAAGTGTCAGAGTGTTTAGCTAGCTTAAGCTTATTATGGACACCAAAAAGAACATTCCAAATACAAAATAAAAAAAGGAGAATGCTTCGAGTGTTAAAAATCTTTTTGACGACAGGGAAGGTTATTCATAATAAAAATCTAAAATCTGCACTATTCACAAATTTTTAAATATCGCTTAGTTCCAACAAAAACTGATATTAAGAATATTCACGAATTTATAATTATTTAGTTAAAAAGCGTTAAAAAAAATCCCATTGCAAACGTGGTTTAGTGATACATAAGTTATAATTGATGCACGTGCCCTCAATAAGAGATGTCAAGTCTTTCTTTCTGCTTTAGGTCTCTTAAAATCTTATCAAGAGTCGCTGTCGATCAATTGAGGAAATTCTGGACCAAAGATATGGGCTTAGGTACTAAAAGAGTGTTTTCCATATCTTACTGTTGAGTAGCGAGGTATATCAAAACCTGCATTTCCTACGGAGTACCCTTTGTTTGCAAAATTGAAAAGCTCACCTATGCAGTCAGGGGCCAAACCATTTCTAACTGACAGGTAACCCCGAGTAACATATAAAGTGCCCTTCATAGTGTAGCTAACCGAAATAAGAATACTCAGTTGAGTGTACGTGTGGGACAACACTTTTTATGGGGATATGAGGAAAAAGACTCGTTTTCCTCTCAGTGATCCATTCTCTCTTGCTCTAATGTATAAGTTAAAATTAATGCCTTTTTTTAACGAAGTCACTTGTCTAGTTAACACTACGAGTCACCCTTTCCTTTGTTGAATAATTAACATGGTGCTGTTTATGAAGATTACGCCACTACATGCCAAAGTCAAGATCAGGTCTCGTTGCTTCTGTTGGCGTATTCAGGAAGCCAAGTAATGCAATGTTGCGCACGCAGAAAGCCTAAGGCGCAAACATAAGAGTGATTTTACTTCACCCGTGAAATAGGGAGTTGAATATTAGGCACTATTATACACCAATGTCATTATCTTCTTTTGTTTGCACTTGTTATTTTGCACTATTTCACTTGTTAGTATCCGGTTGACAGTTCAAGTAAAATTACGCTATCTGATGAACGGTAGAGAGAAAATGTTTCTGCTTAAATTATCAAATACTTATTTAAATGTACGCGAAGATCTTAACGAAGTAAAAGGAGAATTTTGGGAAATTGAATAGCGTTGGCACTGCCGGGACGAATGTCGTCAACTGATAATAAAATTTAGATACAGTTAGTGCTAAAGGCCATTGACACGGAACGATATCATTCGGGGGTGAAGAACATCACAAGCCCACGTTTCGTTATTCCATTATTCCACTCCCGAAAGGAGCATTATTCCATCATTCCAACACGAAATTTTAGGTATTTCTATTCCATTATTTCTCTTCCGCCCCCGAACATCGTGTAGAAATCAACAAAATTGCGTTTCTTGCAAAATGGTTTCATCACGAGATTAGCCTTAAAAAACCGCGAAAACTGCAAAATGTATAGCTCCCATTAGTTCACACATCGATGTGATGCCAATTTAAGGATGACACAATGCCTTTTCTAAATATTTTAATTTTAATTAACCTGTTCTACGGTTTGTCGGTGGGTTATTACTGGATTACAAACAGAGCACAGATTTGAGCTATAAGAGGAAGATTACGATGACGACAACTTTTTCTTTTTATAACGGTTTGCATCCATCAGTGATATGTATGGTATAGCTGATAACGTTATAAGCGCTGATAGGTATGCACAAAGTCGAAAGTGGATGGAAAAATGTTACTTTGAATTGAATTAAAATAGTTAGCACTCTTTTGAAGCAAAATCATAACTTGAAATAAGCTCACCTCGTAGTATTCGACGTCAGAGAAACTGGTAGGAATCAAAATAAGAATTAGGAGTGAAACAATTGCAACTCCTATGATGATAAACCAGGTGACGCTGCTGTTGGTCGGCATGTTGTGGCAGAGCTATCTCTCTGAACGAAGACAACTAGGAACGCAGTTTAATCATGCATATATTATATGCTAGCGGCCTACGTCAAACAATAGGGGCTTAGTTAGTCGATCAGAATAACAATTTCATTAGAAACGTACGTCATGCCTTTCTTGAGTGCCCAATAACATTGGTAAAGAAGGGAAAATTTATGCACACTTTCAATGGTTGCTTTTGTATTTATGTGTTGAAGATACGGATAGCGAAGACTTTCAGTCGAAGCGTGTTGCTGTTCACAAATGGAAAATAAAGGTAAAATAATACTTGGAGCAGTAGTCGCGGTGATCATTTTTATTGGAGCGATGGTTGGAACGTCTTTACGAAAGCTGAGCACAGAAGAAGGTAGGTCTGAATGCGCTTGCAAATATTACAAAGTGTTTTAGGCAATGCAGGAAATAAGCACCTGTCTTCATAGCATCCCAGTTTACATTTTTTCAATTTTCCTTAAGTAAGAATCCATTCAGTCCTTAGCAAAGCCGAAATTCAAAATTGAAGAAAAAAACAAATTTCACTCCGCAAAATGCAGAAAAATTTATGTGAAGCATTATGTGAAATTACTGCTGAAGACTGAGGAGTATATGTGCCACAATAGTAACACCACGAGATGTCATCCACATACTCAGAAGTTAAAGCCACTTATTTGCCTCGAATTTCATACATAGCTTTCAAATATTCGCTTTGACGTTGTTTTTAGTAATACATACTGAATTTGCATAAAGAGGTTTCTAATATAATAGCTCCGCAAAAAGGCTCGTGCCATTTTACTGTTCTTGTTTGATTACTTAGAGTTCGTTAACGCAATAATTCTAGAAAAAGCCAACAGCGTTTACAGCTATCAGAACTATTTGCCACTGATTCTTTTCAACTGGACACATTTAACTTCAATTGTTGACTTTTAGTAAAAAATCATTTGTTTTCAGAATAATGGCTATGAATTTTATTTTATCTTTTAATTTAAGCTTTCTTTTTATTCTGCACGACATCCGTTCACGTTAGCCGCTTTTTACAGATGTACCTCGTTTTAATTGCATTTTACCTATATGTATTTGCGAATATAACGTTCGTTAGTCTGTTGGTTAAATACTGGTAACAGCTGAGTTTGGGATATGAAAGGTTTTGCTCACTTGCAAATTCCTTTAAACTACGAAACTAGGAATGAGTCCGCGTTTCTTCCTGTCTGAGCAGACGCTAGCTGACCTTGCGATTTCATTCATATTGTAATATATTGTGCATAAACACTGTTTTGCTGACCTAGCAAACTTAGCTAGCTTTTGTTCCAGTAATTTTACTTTTTCAAAAATAGCAACACGTACAAGCTATAACTATCTCTTTTATTTGACTTTCATTTACTTCTAAACGATTCCTGTTTAGATATATATTGTACTCTTTTGTTTTCAATAGTTAATCATAATCATATATAAGTAAGTTGCTTTGAACTGATTTGTCGATTACACTGCTCATTACATCGCGGATTTCAGAGCTGATTACATTGCCGATTCCATTTGTGAGACTTGTGAGCTAAGTTACACTACGTATACAAGAATAAACGCTGTTGGAACCAAAGTTCAGTTTGCCTAAGAACTAAGACCCCCTCCAAGTCTCGAAACCTAAGAACTAAAACCCCCTCCAAGTCTCGAAACCTAAGAACTAAGACCCCCTCCAAGTCTCGAAACCTAAGACCTAAGATCCCTTCCAAATCTCGAAACCTAAGACCTAAGATCCCTTCCAAGTCTCGAAACCTAAGACCTAAGACCCCTTCCAAATCTCGAAACCTAAGACCTAAGATCCCTTCCAAATCTCGAAACCTAAGACCTAAGATCCCTTCCAAATCTCGAAACCTAAGACCTAAGATCCCTTCCAAATCTCGAAACCTAAGACCTAAGACCCCTTCCAAATCTCGAAAACGAAGACTTAAACCGAAAATTTCAGCTAATTTTACAACGGTTAAAACACAACGGAAGGAAACGTTTCGTAGGAATGCCCACTTTAAACTACAAAACGAAGACGAAATCAAAGTCACGCGAACATGATGTGTCGCGACTCACATAACAAAACATTGACAAAAAAGGCCCGTGAGAACTGTTTATTGGATGTTTTTAAACGGTGTCTATCCAAGTGTCACGGTTTTAAATTGCCACAGACAAGAGATAACCGGAAATGTCACGCGAGCGATCATAAAAACGAGTCGATAAAAGAAGTTCTACTGTTCTTGCTTTGTACAGTCAAAGATGTCTCCAATAAATATATCCATAAATACATAGATGAATAAATAATTAAATGACAGAAAAGGATCACGAGATGGAGGTCTAGTGTGTCACGTGAGAGGTGGCAAAATCTTGAATTCATGCTAAGCCTGGGCCCCCCGAGATGCTAAACGACCTTTGTAACAACAAACCAATTCTTGTAAGAATTTTGGATGGAAAGCACACGCCTCGATATTACATAGACTGAGTTCCATTGAGAAATCACTTAGCTAGACTTGTTGCTTCTTGGCCCCGGCTGATCTCCTGTCTACTTGTATGACTCTCCTACGTAAGCAAATGTCTGCAAAAGTCATCGACAGGATAATCTCCCGCCAGAATTTAATTTTGACCGGGAAATTACATATCACTTGCTTATGTAGCTCCTGGTACTAAATGATGTTTTTTCGAAATTCTCAACTTCCACGACTCTTTAGGAAGCAGAAATCTGACAACGAAAGTATTTTTAACATACCACGCTTTGATTGTCATGGTCTGGCAGTTAAAGAGCGGCTTGGACAAGGTTCTTTGGGCGATGTGTACACCGTGGATTATGAAGCTCAAGGAAAGGTTGCCGAAACAGTGGTTGTGAAGAAAATGTTATATCCTTCAATCAAATTTGCAAAATGAAACCATCTGTTGGCAGTTTCCAGTAGGAGAAGTGAATAGCTTACACTGTTCTTTCTTTATAAGTAACGGCACGAAAATATTTCATACAGGAATATCTTTATTTAGTTTATTAAAACTAAATACATTCAACACTCAACTGACAATCGCTAAAATACTCTGTCACAACAGTTGGTGTGGCCTACAATATCCATCAGAAGGAACTTTCCTCAGAGGTGAAAAGAGAGGGTCTTCACGCTGGTGCTCCTGGGTATCGCTTTATCATCTTCCCCAGTGTGTTCCAGAGCATTACATACTCAGATATTGAGTGTCTTAACAAGGAAGGCATAGAGATTGAACTGGATGTGCAACTGCAGTACCGTGCGCGCCCTAAGGATTTAAGACAGATTATTCTGCAGTTCAAAGACAAGGAAGACTACCTGGAGGTTCTAAAGTAAGTACAAGACCTTATTGACTTAATTTTTCATAAGGTGTATTGGGGAAATTGAATAGACAAGATGGTGTGTAGTAGAAAGCACGTTAAAGACATTCTTGGTTCGGTCAGCGTGACTTCTACCCTTCAGTAATTTCCAGCGACAGAAAAGGATTTCTGGTCTGCATGATCTCTCTATAGCCAAGGTAACTGAGACAGAGACACTTCTTTTTATTAAAATAGCCGCGTTTGAGGTCCGTACTGTGAATAATGCATCGAAATCGCGGGAAAAAACGAGGATGCACCTGTACAGTAACATCGTGAAAATAAGTTAATAACGGTATATTAAATGGTTTTTTTGCGATATCAGACTTTTGTCATTTCGCTATTTCGTACTTTCAGAGTTGTTGGAGAGTCAGCCATTCACGACGCATGCAGTGCATTTAACACCAGTCAACTCCAGTCTCAACGCGCTTCTTTTCAAGACCTCGTTCGCAAGACCCTGGGTCGGAGATTTGGCACTCTATGGGGGGATGTGACAGATCTGCAGGTATCAACGTTTTAAACTCGTATAATTTTTGGCACCACCCCCTATCCGAACTGAAACTTGAAAGCTAATCCGCAACCTTTTCTCAGGCTAATAAGGGTATAGTACTTTATGCTCATTCTGGAAAAATGAGCGGGAAAATTGTTGCTACATGTCATAGTAAAGCAGGGTTTTTTTTATCGTAAAGGACAACTCTTTTACCAAATAACCTAATACTAGCTAAAACTGAAGAAAATGACCGTCAACATTTGACTGAAAGGTTTCTCTTCACGTTAGGTTCAAAATATCAAGCGCCCAGACACTTACGAGAAAGTAATCCGTCAGAAAGAAGCAGCCAAAGAAAACATCAAAATTGCCGAAAATGAGCGCCCGCGACAAGTAGTGCAAGCCAAGGCTGAGAAAGAGGAAGCTGTAACACAAGCAAAGATAACTGTTCAAAGAGCGGAGTCTGAGGCGAGAGTGATTCTATCCAAAGCACAGGCCGAGGCTGATAGTATCAAAGCAGCTTTCGATGCGGAGGCTCAAGCTTTCTTAAAGCTGAAAACAGACAGCTTAAGCAACAGTGTGGATGGGTTGCTGTCTTATCTTGGTGTTCGTCTAATCGCTGAGAGCAACAATACGGTTAATTTAGCGATTGATGCACCAGCTAAGACAAAGTATACATACACGTAGGTATTTCTACGCAGTGAAAGAATCCAAATTTATTAATTAAGCCGCACCAGCAATGTTTTCTGTTGAGCCTTAGGTATCTTTTAAAGCAAGCTGTTCCTATGTTGCAGTTTATATAGTTTAAAACTGTCAAAACTGAACTTCTCTGTGTCAGACTATATCAATCATTTGTTGTAAATAAGGCAATAAAGTAAAGTGAAGGGTTTTTTTTCCTCTGAAAGTGACTCTTGCATCCGTAGATTAGCAACCTCGTCCCCAGGGCGCTTTTCCCTGGCTTTTCCCGCCCAACTCCAAAACCATGGAAAAGCGCCCTGTCAATAGGCCGCTAGTTCAGAAGTATAAAAATTCATACTGGCTTCGAGGCTGAGGGTAAAAAAAAGAAATCCCAAAAAAGGAAGCCAAGTATTAATTTTTGTAATTCGAAACTGGACTATTGTAAATGGACTATGTAAAGGCTTTCGTCGCACAGGAGCAACCCCGTTCCCTGGGTGGCTTGCGTGGCAGGCGTTCGGAAGGGAATGGGAAGGAAATTTGGGAGTAATTTGGGGCGCTCAGTTTGGACAAGAGGGAGGAGCCCCCAGCTCCGCATTGGGGGAAAAAGAAATAAAAAGTCGGCTTGGGCGGAAAAAAATCGGCGAGCGAAGCGAGCCAAGAGGCAGTCTGGAAGGGGAAACGGTGGACCTTTCCACTTTCCCAGACTATCGTTCTGCTCGCTTTGCTCGCCTTTGCTCGCCGATATTTTTCCTATTTGAGCCCGTTTTTTGCCTTTTCCCCGATTGCGGAGGCTGGTCCCAGGTTAGCCTGAACGCCCCCAATGACACCCGTTGTGAAGGCTAGAAGAATATCGACCCTGGGAACTGAGGTTGCAATAAGAGAATCCTTACGTAGAATATTGTACGTTTCTGATTGACCCGATTAATCCACCGATTAATTCTTCGTAACCAGCTAGCGTTGACCAAATTTTAAAGATGTTTGACTATATTAGTTCAGTTGACGTCAGTTACTCTGATAATCGACAGAAAAAAATCACACTACGTGACTGCTCGGCTGTTTTGGTAGTGTAAAGCTTGAGAAAGTTTCGAAGGATTTCATAGAGGCAATTGTTAATGCATCAGTCAATTCCACCTTATATCAAGACGAAATAACGGAACTACTGCCTCAACGTTAAACAAAGGTAGGGATGGGAACTGCTATCTTCTTGCATAAAAGACGAGAACTTTAAACAGAGATAAGCATGTTTTGACCTTGGGAATGTTTTGACTGTCCCGGCGGATAATTCCCTTCAGTTCTATATCAGCACAATTATTCATATTATACGAAAGCCTATTCCAGTTATTAAGTAAAATTATGGTCATATTTTCGAAGTTGCGCTTACATGGATGGACTAAGGACTGGATTAAAGGGAGTATAAATTTCATTGATATTTTGCTCTATTACCTTTGGAGTCTTTCTTTCCAGAACTTTTATGCGGAGAAACAATAACTTTATTATAACAAAATAGACCTAAGTACAAGCTTCTGCCTAAGTTCAGTAAAAACCCACATATAAGAGGCTAGATTTTTCCAACTTAGCCTCAATAGGTTTTTATAAAAATGGTATTTAGTGGGATTCTAGGCTACCTAGGTTCTTAATTTGATAGGGGAAAAAAACAGTAGTGATCAACACAGACAACTACTCTACGGCATATGGGAGAGACACATAGATCTGTATTCTTAATAATTGCATTGTCTAATCCAGTATTGGCAAAGACATGATATGGTTTTCATTTTAGTTCATTGTTTGAATCTTACTGACTCAAAGCTAGACTAAAAGTTTTTTCTGTCTTTTCATCTGTGCCTTCATTTTTGAAAAAATAAGAACCTATTGAAAATTTTAGGCTAAGTAGGTTCTTATGAAAATGGGGTTCAAAATAAAAATTTTAGCCTGACAGGTTTTTAAATTTTAGGTTCTTATTTGTGGGTTTTTACTGTAGGCCATTTCCGAGTTTCAAAAACCTTACTTGTGAAAATGAGTTTTATTAGTACGAGAATAGAAAAAATCATTTTCTTATCACGGTTTTGCACTGTCCATCAGTTTTCTAAACTAGGAAGAGGTGTTAGGTTAGAGGTTCTAGGACACCCTTCCACAAAATTCGACAAGGGGATTTCATTGATGACGGCGGTTTAAACGCTACCCAAGCGTGTGTGATAATGGCGTGAGCTCACAAATTAGTTTAGTTGAAATGAACCGTTTTTTAATTGAATTTTTTTTTCGAATATATATATATATATATCTTTTTAATGGAATGAATTTTTTCAATGGAAATTAAGTGTCATTTTTTTTAATCGAAAGGAATTGTAAATAGTGTTTTAACTGAATAGATTTTAAGCGAAATAAATTGTAAATAGGATTTTATAGTTAGCTTTGTTATCAATAAGTTTTCATTAAAAGTTTTCTAAACTAAATTCCTGAGGACTCTGCCTCGTTCCCAGTCGTCCTCGGCGATTTCGGATATGACGTCACCTGTCAAGCTTGTCGAGAAAATTCGCGCTCCGTTCCAAGCCTCTTCTGGTAACTCGGATAGCGTGAACTGGCCTGGGTACAAGGCTGCTGTGGACTGTGATGGCCCAAGAGAACATAGCTTTCATCATAAAACAGTTTTTTCCAGAAAAAGTTCATTATTTTATAATGAAAGCAACTTGTACCAAACTTTTCTAGGAAGAAGAAAACAACTAAGACATCAGAGGAGTAGTGGACTTTTTCATCTTGCATGAGGTCTTTGGCGTTCATGGAGAATGCTAAAAGAGAGACCATGAAACGCAAAAGGTTTTCAATAAAAATCACCAAAATTGTCAATTTTGAAAACACAAACAGCGTCCTAGCGGATTTCTTCTTTAAGCGACTCAGTTTAGTGAAGTTCACTGCGCAAACAACAACAGCCTTCAAAATGTTACACAAAGCGAAAGAAATAAGTAGTGGATAATAGAATGTGGTTTGTTCACCAAAGGTGCCCAAGATACACAATGCCACATATCTAAACGACGCTGCCAGAAGAAAGAAGCACAGTGACCAAAACTGGGGAAGGACTTTAAGTTGTCGGACAACTGCTTTATAACCAGGAAAAGCGGAGATCTTTGGAAGAATTATAATGGCAAGGGTAAGGTGAAGACATACGCTGAGCAAATAGCACAGTTGTAGTTCCGCTGAATATTTGAAGGCAGCATTTATATCACAATTGTAGGTGGCGACCTTATGTTTAAAGCACGTGGCCGCGCGAACTAGGTACAAACACATCCCAATCAATTGCCAGCACAAAAACAGGCTGTAAACCACGGCCAACATTCTTTTCCACGGAATGCTTCGTGTCTCTCTCTTTCCATTAAATGTTAGGTTGGATTCTTTCAAGAGTGGAACCGAGGGATCGGTGATAGGTTCTGTCGCCATAACAACTAAATCTGGAAATTGGTGAGAAAAACAGACTAAGAGTAATTCTCTAATCACTAAGCGTAGCCTGTGCACAGAAACCCCCTTCCCTCAGGGAATAAAAATGTCGGGGAGAGAGTCGTTTTAGGGAATGGGACGGCTGTACACAGGCTCACTAAGTAATGAAACACATGTTTTTAACTTGTGTAAGATCATCTTCAGTGATAAAAGTACGTCATGTTTTGAAATAATGACAAACACCGCTTATATGATCAAACACTACAAGAACGTCATCATTGAACAAAGTGAAAGTTAGTTTTCTATCATATCATCGTCATCAATTGATAAGTCCTCGTTGCATTAGACAACATATTAAGATGGTAGCAACTTTCGAGTTTTACTAAACTTTCTAAACTTTTAAATATTATCATTACTTTCTAAAGTTTGTGTTTTTGTGAACTTTATGGTAGAGAAGCTATTAATAGCTCTAATCAAGAGAGAATGATCATTCTCTCTTGCTCTAATGTTTTTTTATAACTACCAAACAGTTTTGGACAAACTTAAAGCCTTCTTGATTTTGATTCACGGGGTAGTTGCCGCCCCGGTTTCATGACTGATATTTAGGGAAACAAACTGTTTTTAAGATGTCGTCATGCACCCACTCTGTACCCCGACACCGCACAGTTTAGCCAGTTGAAAAACCGTAACCACCGGTGTACTCAAAACTTCAAGCGGGACATACAAGTCCGCGTTTGTTAATCTTTCCGTCAGATCAGTATAAAACTGCAAGTGAGTGTTGATTGAAAATCACAGTTAATTATTTTCAGCAACTCAAGCAGGTTTCACATACTCCTTCTTTGAAAGACATATGTGACTGTTGTGATATTGATATTCATTCAAGACAAGAAGCTCTTATAAATGTGAGCTGGATTAAGATCGCAAAGTTAGTAACAATTTGGTTATAGAATAACGCTGTGCGGTATATACGCCGCGTTCAGACCAGGATTCGGGGTACAGGAGGTCTTCGCAACTCGCCATATAACTGGGAACTGGATTTGCAAGCGAATCAACCCTCGACATTTTGTTGCGTTTGTATTATAAGGTCAGTCTATAATTTGCTCGCAATGCAGTGTTATATAAGTGATCACGCTGATGATCTGTTAGTAATTAGTATTTCACCAGAAGGATTGCAACAATCGCTGGATGTAAATTATAAACACGCTCAAGAATGGAAGCACAAAGTAAATACCAAAAAATCTAATATCATCATATTTAGCGGACCTTAGCGGTAATGAAAAAAAAAAAATTCAAATACGCAAATGAAATTATAGAAATTGGTAAAAACAAACATACCTAGGAATAGAAATTGCATCATCTGGTCGTTGCGCCTATGCAAGGGAAATTCTTAGGGAAAAGGCTACTAAAATCGTTCACAATTTAACAATTACCCTCGAACAATGATTCTTCAGCGGTCGAGACAAGGAATAAACTTTTCGATGCCCTTGTTAAACCTGTACTACTTTACGTTTGTGAAATATGGGGACCAGAACTATTATCTTTTAAGACACATTTTGATAAAAGTATAATTGAGCAAGTTAAACAAACATTAAATGTCTCATGGTACACAGAAAACAAAACCTGTAGAGCAGAACTTGGCCGATGCCCTCTATCTATAGACATAAAGGCTTCCCTTTTACTGGCAAAGATTAGAACAAAAATCAGACAACCCTCTCTTAAATGGAGCTTTTTTTACGCAAGAAATCACTGTCAGTTTTATAGTTT